AGTTCTGCATGGTGAGAACTCTTAACTGCATTCGGGTCTCGTGTGCAGACCTGTTTGGAAAATGTGCTATTTTCTTGTTTGCTAATCTACTGCTGGCATGTTGTGTATTTTGTGGAATTGCATTAATTCGACATCGGGCGGAACATTTCTGTAATTTCGCGGGTCTTGTCATTTAATTTCTTCGGGAAATGTGAAGATTTGACACTCCCAGGATCCCGGTTACCGGTCTTAATCCCTAATGTACAATTTTGGCGAGTTTGTGAAGGAGAAACAGCCACTAGAGTGGCAGGTAAGCATACAGACCCACAGAGACAGACAGCTATGCACCTCACACACACACATACATACACTAACACACAGCCTCTGTTTATGACACTTTCATGTGATTTTAAACTAAAGAAGAACATGGAGTGCTTCTCAGAGATGATTATCCCTTTGGCAGAGAAAGCAGTGAAACTGTAGACTCTCTCATGACTATTATACGTTTTGTAGAGCAGAATAAGGCCAAGGTACCTAGGCTACTATGGGAAAATAAGATGTGGACTGAGGACGGGTTTAGTCAGACATTTCAGCTCCACACTGGGGCCAATTTCATATTTTTCTAGAAACTCAACACCATAACAAGGGCATTGCAATGCTCCAAGTTAGTGTAATACAAATCATATACACATACACATACACATACGCACACACGAACACACACACACACACACACACACGCACAAACGCATACTGAGCCCTGGCAGGACAATACAGAGGGGTAGACTATGATGAACATGATTCTACTTTTGCGGCTCAGGGTATAGATCATTGCTGAGGTTCTGCTCCAAGCCAGCAGAAGGTCAGGCAGGCGGACGTCTGGGGCTGATGCCCAGAGCCATCCCCAGCACTCATTGTCCTGTCCCAGGGCAGGGAGAGACCTGTGACCCCTAGACTTCAAACGACCTCTTTCTGCAAACCCCAGCTGAAGGACTCAACCAATGTATGGCTGCTGTGATAATACACTAACACTGAATTCACTGTTTAACTGCTAGTAATTTACCATCTAGGAGTGTGTGTGTGGTTTAGTGTGTCTATATATGTTGGTTTTGTGTATACAATTTTTACGTGTGTTGTATGAGTGTGTGTGTGTGTGTGTGTGCGTGTGCGCGTGCGCTCGCGAGTGTAATACAAGAACATGAAAGGAAATATGTGTTTGTGTACACTTATACAGTATGAATGCCTAGTAGGACCCTCGTAGGGGTGGTCCCTTGGTTCTCTGCTCACTCCTAAGTGCCTGTAATTTCTCACCCTTCATCAGTACTGTAATCTCTGTAGACGCCCTCTGAAGAACCTCCTCTAACAGGGTCCGTCGGGGACCAGGGGTTGACAAACGAAAACATAATTTATCCAGTGACCTCGGAGCTGCAGGAAATGGTTTGCTGGCTGTTTGACAATAGCCTTGCAATAGGGGGTTGGGGTGGTGGGGGACTGAGGGGTTTTGTGAAACATGAAAAGGTGGTCTGGCCTCTAAACCTACAGTATCAGGTTTGGGTATTTCAACAAAAATGCACACATACATTCGGAAAATCCTGTATGGAACTATGTGTGTGTTTGCCAAACTGAGGTTTCCCTGGAGTGAAAATATTTACTTAGAAAAAAAGAAACTGAAAGTATTTATTTCAGTGCAATCTTCTGCCATGTCCTAAATGTGATTTCTGTGCTTTTTGGCCCTCTGAGTCATCATTGGCAGTACAGAGAGAGGATAGCTGGATCCAAGGTTCCATGGCTCAATACTCTTTGGGTTCTAAGTCCTGGTCCTGTTGTGCTAGTGATCTTCTGGCCTTTTTATGATTCGGTATAATGGTCTGATAGATGTTCTGATAGGACCCTGTTGCCGATCTAACCTGAATTTAGCAGTCCCGGTAAATCCAACTTTGTTGCCACCTAGTGAATAAGGCACATTAACAGAAGACCTGATGAAAAGCCCAGGGAAACCTGTGGCCATATTATGATAGTGTGTCTGTCTGACTGTGTGTCTGACTGTGTGTCTGACTGTGTGTCTGACTGTGTGTGTGTGTGTGTGTGTGTGTGTGTGTGTGTGTGTGTGTGTGTGTGTGTGTATGGTTACTGGTCAACAGTAGAAGACCAGGGTTGGTCTGGATCACCTAGGGGTAGTCATGAAAGCTGAGTGAAAGTTTATGGGTAGAGAGTCTACAGGGGTCTGTAGAGGGCATGGGGGAGAAAGGGGTCATGGCCTTTAATCATCTTGGTCCTGACCCCCCAGACCATGGCACTGACAGGGAGGTCAGAAGGGGACGGGGGACGGGGGACGGGGGACGGGGGACGGGGGACGGGGGGGCACTCAAAGACCCTCTCAGTCTACTGGTCACTCCTGTCATCCAATAGGTCCACCTAGACTTTCCCCTGGCACTTTCCATAGGCCTACTGCTCTTCTATAATGTCAATGGGGTCTTAGAGCACAACTGGAACATGACACAAGGCTACTGGTTAGACAACCTCAAATACAAAGGTGAACTGAGACACAAATACACAAACAGACGAGGAGAAACAGAAGAATTTGAAAGAATATTAAGGTTAGTTCCTTCAGGTCTCATGTGATACAAAAGTAAGGGACAAGTTGGAGCCAATTTTGTTACCGTATCAACTGCATTTCAAGGTGGCATGTACAGTTTCAGCATAAACAATGCGTGCGCTTTGAATTTATGGCGACTTTGTGTAAGTAAATATGGTAGGCTACAACACACACACACACACGCAGAGCATTGATTATTGATCATGCAGACAGCAGAGCAGAGAAGGCTGTAGGAAGACAGATTTAGACATTGCATATAATTTAACAGCTCCATTTCACATCACATTGTTCATAGAAATAATGTATTAGCCTATAATTGACCGGTTTCTCACAATTATTCATTTCGGGAAAGGGAAGTGGGTTTGGGCGGGAAATCCCTCGGTAACCCGGTTTCTGATATACGCGGCACGTATATAACTACATCCAATTAGAACGTTGGAAATGTCAGAGTTCCAACTAGCACATGAACGCGGCATTAAACCCTAATGAACACCAACATGTTAAGTTAATAGGATCACATCAAATTTGATTTCAAATGAAAGCTAGGAGTCTATATTTTTTTCAAATTAAGGCATATATTTTTTGAAAGTAGTTATTCTGCATAGAATTGTATGGTTTGTTTAACTTTGCAATCAATGGTTTTGTTTGGGATACATTTAAAAGTGAAAACAATTGGCACCTCAGCGTCATTCTGTTACCAATTATTTCTCACATATACTATGTGAGAAAAAACAGTTTTGTAGTAAAAAGTTTTCTTTGCTGTTTTTGTCTCTTTGAAAGAAGAAATATACATAAAAAAAGATAGTTAAAATTTGACACTGAAAGGGAAACAAACCATCCCCAGCTTTACTAGGATTTGGACCATAGAGTCCAGAGTGCTGAGTCTTAAACAACTGTTCCTACCCATGGAAACTCATCCTCATTCAAAGAAACAGAGCATAGATTTATGCCAGTTCATTGACTCTCCAGTAAACAAGAACATCATGACCGAAAGGCTCTGTGGTAACCTAGTCAACTCACACTGATCATGTGAATCAATCATGGCAGAGTGGAACATGGAGCCATAATGCCACAGGAAGTCATTAAGATAAACAAGAGCTACAAACACTGTAAACAACACTATCACAATGCTGACACAACACTGATTAGAGAGAAAGGAGATTTGTTGAAGATGTGCATCCAACAACATATACGGTCCTTCAGACAGACAAACACACTAACAGAACCAGTGTATCTGTATACTTGATTACACTAATCTCTGTCCTGCGGGGTGAAAGTCAACAAATCGAGGTGGGTGATGTATTTCTCCCTCACTAATTGTCTGAGATTGAGTTTGAACTGAGACCTAATGTATTTGTGTATACTCTCCCATCCACCTTTCACATGTGAAGTCACTTAGACAGGGTGATGTCCGCCTGCACAGATGGTTTCTAAATACAGAAAGGTATACTTTCTAGTTAATTGGCCGTAGTATCATACTCTGACCTAGATAGGCAGAGAAGGAGGTACAAAGAGGTTTAGCTAAGGATAGCAAAGCCACCATATTAACATGCACGAACGAACGCACGCACGCGCACACACACCACAACACAACACAACATACACACACACACCAGAAGCCATAAAGAGAATATACAGACAATATGGGGACAGCAATTGGATCAGAGTACCATAGTTCTTTGAAAATGTTATTTTAAAGCAGTGGAAACAAAATGCTGATTTTGGCTCAGTGTTGGCCCTAGAACAGTAACTGATATTATACTGTACACCCACCATGAGTGGGTTCCTACTGTTAGGCCAACACTTTTACCTTCTATCATAAGGGGTTCATAAAACTGTCATTATAACTGTCACAGAGGCATAACACAAACCATATCCAGGTAAGCTAGTTTGGTAGAGGTAGGCCAAGCCAATTAGCATGAAACAACATTTTGACCAAAACAATAGTTTGTGTCTGTTGTTAGCTGCCATGACTGTGTATGCCATTATGTTACAATTATCTGTATTAATCATAGATAAAAGCAATGTCACGGTGGAAATGCAATTATTGTCATCAAGCTTTCAATGAGTCCGGTTTAATAGGCCTACACTGTTTATATAAGGCATATTGTAGATATATAAAAACAAACATAAGGGTAACAATGATGACCTGCTCAACTTGTTTACCGTTTGTCATCTAAAGTTAGGGGACAGAGGGACTTCAAAGTGCACGAGCATCCTTCACTAAATATGTAGCTCCTGGTAACACACTTTCCACCAATCAGGACGCTCCGCTACAGTCTTGCAGGAAGAGTGGAAGTTTAACCTGGACAGAATTACGGAAAAACAACCCGCTGCAAACTCTCTGCGAAAACAGACAATATTCATTACTTTTTATGGCGACATTGTTTCGAATCACTTTAGGGATTCGTTCACAGTAATGACAATGTTGGGTATGTATGTGCCAGATAGATTTTCTTTGAAATCATCTAAGGTCCAGGATGGAATCGGGCTTTACACGGCGAGACGAGTGAAAAAGGTTTGTTCTTTTGGACAACTTTGTATGTTTTGGGTATGAATACATTTACCAACGTGCAAAACTAATTCGATGATTTAGAGAAATAGGAAGTTTTCTGTTCGCATTTTGTGTTCTTTTGCGTGTCGCTCCCAAAACCTAAAGCCGTAGCCTACCCAAAAGCTGCTCTGACGTAAAGTGCCACGTAGCTAGATACTGTAACTGAGATTTCAGCACTAGCTCACTCCACAATGCTCAATCAGGACACTCGTGTGTTACACTTTAACACATATGTTGATACATTGTAACATTGTTTCATTGCATAATGCTGTCATTTAACTTTCATACTCAAAATTAATCGGGTTTTATAGGCTATTCCACAATACTGTAACAAAGTTGACAATGGTGCAAACCATATTTTTTACTTAAAGTTAATGGCCAGGCAACCTATTCATTATGTAATCTCACATTGTTCAAAACTTTTAACACGAAAGCTTCATTCATTATGAACACATCGACCACACCCCCTCGTATAGCGTGTTTTAACTAGTCTCCTACTACTAGTGGGTCCAAAGTGAAATGCATAGGATGGATTCATGGACAATACTATTTATTATAATTTACATTTACGTCATTTAGCTGACGCTCTTATCCAGAGCGACTTACAGTTAGTGCATACATTATTATTTTTCATACTGGCCCCCCGTGGGAAACGAACCCACAACCCTGGCGTTGCAAACGCCATGCTCTATCAACTGAGCTACCTCCCTGCCTGCCATTCCCTCCCCTACCCTGGGCCAATTGTGCGCCGCCCCATTGGTCTCCCGGTTGCGGCCGGCTACAGCAGAGCCTGGATTCGAACCAGGATCTCTAGTGGCACAGCTAGCACTGCGATGCAGTGCCTTAGACCACTGCGCCACTCGGGAGTTACTATATAGTCCTATATTGTTATAAATGCACTTTTCCCCCCCGGCATCCATCCATCTATTACATCGCACAATTTATATCTGGTTACATTCACATAGCCCCTGACAGTTCTGGAAAAGACCTCTAGTTAAAAAGAAAGACAAGAACATGAATATCCTGTATCCTCATTCTGACAATGTGTGTTTTCTCCAAGGGGGAAAAGTTTGGCCCTTTCGCTGGAGAAAAGAAACTGCAGAGTGAGCTGGATGAGAGCACAGACACCAGACTGATGTGGGAGGTGATAACACTGCAGTCACAGCACATCATATTTCTCTTCATAAGCACAATAGATAGATGATAAATATACTACAGTGGGGAAAAAAAGTATTTAGTCAGCCACCAATTGTGCAAGTTCTACCACTTAAAAAGATGAGAGAGGCCTGTAATTTTCATCATAGGTACACGTCAACTATGACAGACAAAATGAGAAAAAAAATCCAGAAAATCACATTGTAGGATTTTTAATGAATTTATTTGCAAATTATGGTGGAAAATAAGTATTTGGTCAATAACAAAAGTTTCTCAATACTTTGTTATATACCATTTGTTGGCAATGACACAGGTCAAACGTTTTCTGTAAGTCTTCACAAGGTTTTCACACACTGTTGCTGGTATTTTGGCCCATTCCTCCATGCAGATCTCCTCTAGAGGAGTGATGTTTTGGGGCTGTCGCTGGGCAACACGGACTTTCAACTCCCTCAAAAGATTTTCTATGGGGTTGAGATCTGGAGACTGGCTAGGCCACTCCAGGACCTTGAAATGCTTCTTACGAAGCCACTCCTTCGTTGCCCGGGCGGTGTGTTTGGGATCATTGTCATGCTGAAAGACCCAGCCACGTTTCATCTTCAATGCCCTTGCTGATGGAAGGAGGTTTTCACTCAAAATCTCACGATACATGGCCCCATTCATTCTTTCCTTTACACGGATCAGTCGTCCTGGTCCCTTTGCAGAAAAACAGCCCCAAAGCATAATGTTTCCACCCCCATGCTTCACAGTAGGTATGGTGTTCTTTGGATGCAACTCAGCATTCTTTGTCCTCCAAACACGACGAGTTGAGTTTTTACCAAAAAGTTCTATTGTGGTTTCATCTGACCATATGACATTCTCCCAATCCTCTTCTGGATCATCCAAATGCACTCTAGCAAACTTCAGACGGGCCTGGACATGTACTGGCTTAAGCAGGGGGACACGTCTGGTACTGCAGGATTTGAGTCCCTGGCGGCGTAGTGTGTTACTGATGGTAGGCTTTGTTACTTTGGTCCCAGCTCTCTGCAGGTCATTCACTAGGTCCCCCCGTGTGGTTCTGGGATTTTTGCTCACCGTTCTTGTGATCATTTTGACCCCACGGGGTGAGATCTTGCATGGAGCCCCAGATCGAGGGAGATTATCAGTGGTCTTGTATGTCTTCCATTTCCTAATAATTGCTCCCACAGTTGATTTCTTCAAACCAAGCTGCTTACCTATTGTAGATTCAGTCTTCCCAGCCTGGTGCAGGTCTACAATTTAGTTTCTGGTGTCCTTTGACAGCTCTTTGGTCTTGGCCATAGTGGAGTTTGGAGTGTGACTGTTTGAGGTTGTGGACAGGTGTCTTTTATACTGATAACAAGTTCAAACAGGTGCCATTAATACAGGTAACGAGTGGAGGACAGAGGAGCCTCTTAAAGAAGAAGTTACAGGTCTGTGAGAGCCAGAAATCTTGCTTGTTTGTAGGTGACCAAATACACTGCTCAAAAAAATTAAGGGAACACTAAAATAACACATCCTAGATCTGAATGAATGAAATCATCTTATTAAATACTTTTTTCTTTACATAGTTGAATGTGCTGACAACAAAATCACACAAAAATTATCAATGGAAATCAAATTTATCAACCCATGGAGGTCTGGATTTGGAGTCACCCTCAAAATTAAAGTGGAAAACCACACTACAGGCTGATCCAACTTTGATGTAATGTCCTTAAAACAAGTCAAAATGAGGCTCAGTAGTGTGTGTGGACTCCACGTGCCTGTATGACCTCCCTACAACGCCTGGGCATGCTCCTGAGGAGGTGGTGGATGGTCTCCTGAGGGATCTCCTCCCAGACCTGGACTAAAGCATCCGCCAACTCCTGGACAGTCTGTGGTGCAACGTGGCGTTGGTGGATGGAGCGAGACATGATGTCCCAGATGTGCTCAATTGGATTCAGGTCTGGGGAACGGGCGGGCCAGTCCATAGCATCAATGCCTTCCTCTTGCAGGAACTGCTGACACACTCCAGCCACATGAGGTCTAGCATTGCCTTGCATTAGGAGGAACCCAGGGCCAACCGCACCAGCATATGGTCTCACAAGGGGTCTGAGGATCTCATCTCGGTACCTAATGGCAGTCAGGCTACCTCTGGCGAGCACATGGAGGGCTGTGCGGCCCCCAAAGAAATGCCACCCCACACCATGACTGACCCACCGCCAAACCGGTCATGCTGGAGGATGTTGCAGGCAGCAGAACATTCTCCACGGCGTCTCCAGACTCTGTCACGTCTGTCACATGTGCTCAGTGTGAACCTGCTTTCATCTGTGAAGAGCACAGGGCGCCAGTGGCGAATTTGCCAATCCTGGTGTTCTCTGGCAAATGCCAAACGTCCTGCACTGTGTTGGGCTGTAAGCACAACCCCCACCTGTGGACATCGGGCCCTCATACCACCCTCATGGAGTCTGTTTCTGACCGTTTGAGAAGACACATGCACATTTGTGGCCTGCTGGAGGTCATTTTGCAGGGCTCTGGCAGTGCTCCTCCTGCTCCTTCTTGCACAAAGGCGGAGGTAGCAGTCCTGCTGCTGGGTTGTTGCCCTCCTACGGCCTCCTCCACGTCTCCTGATGTACTGGCCTGTCTCCTGGTAGCGCCTCCATGCTCTGGACACTACGCTGACAGACACAGCAAACCTTCTTGCCACAGCTCGCATTGATGTGCCATCCTGGATGAGCTGCACTACCTGAGCCACTTGTGTTGGTTGTGGACTCCGTCCCATGCTACCACTAGAGTGAAAGCACCGCCAGCATTCAAAAGTGACCAAAACATCAGCCAGGAAGCATAGGAACTGAGAAGTGGTCTGTGGTCACCACCTGTAAACCAGTCCTTTATTGGGGGTGTCTTGCTAATTGCCTATAATTTCCACCTGTTGTCTATTCCATTTGCACAACAGCATGTGAAATGTATTGTCAATCAGTGTTGCTTCCTAAGTGGACAGTTTGATTTCACAGAAGTGTGATTGACTTGGAGTTACATTGTGTTGTTAAAGTGTTCCCTTAATTTTTTTGAGCAGTGCACTTATTTTCCACCATAATTTGCAAATAAATTCATTAAAAATCCTACAATGTGATTTTCTGGATTTTCTTTTCTCAATTTGTCTGTCATCGTTGACGTGTACCTATGATGGAAATTACAGGCCTCTCTCATCTTTTTAAGTGGGAGAACTTGCACAATTGGTGGCTGACTAAATACTTTTTTTCCCCACTGTATGTACTGAGTGTACAAAACATTAGGAACTCCTGCTCTTTCCATGACATAGACTGATCAGGTGAAAGCTACTGTATGATCCGTTATTGCTGTCACCTGTTAAATCCACTTCAATCAGTGTAGATGAAGGGGAGGAGACAGGTTAAAGAAGGATTTTTAAGCGTTCAGGTGGGCCTTTGCGCTTCAGCAAACAAAGGAAAGGAGGGGTGTTCAACAACAATGACAGAAATCATGAAAAGAGCTTCCAAACAAAAACTTCCAAAAGGATTAATTTGAGGTAAAAAGGAGTTGGGGAACTCAACCAAAAAAAGTCAGAGATTGATTTATTTTTGCTCACTTTAATCCATTGTACAGGATGCGAACAGGTGACTGACATTTCGACGTCAAGCTGACATCTTCCTCAGTGACCTGACCATTGCACTTAGCACCTATTTATAGCCTAGTGACCCATTGAGACACAACAATGTAAAAAAATAATAATGATAATATGTTTCAAGGTAAACAGCAAATTATAGCACAAAATAATAAGAGAAATGGTGTGTCTCGTTAATCAATAGGCCATGTCAAAATATAAATGAGTGTGTCAAGAACTGCAACTCTGCTGGGTTTTTCATGCTCAACAGTTTCCCGTGTATCAAGAATGGTCCAACACCCAAAGGACATCCAGCCAACTTGACACAACTGTGGGAAGCATTGGAGTCAACATGGTCCAGCATCCCTGTGGAACGCTTTCAACACCTTGTAGAGTCCAAGCAGTCTTATGGCTTGGGGGTAGAAGCTGTTAACGAGCCTGTCATGTTATATTGGAGAGAACCACATTGTTTTATATCACAGGTTTTTTCTTAGCAACTATGATTTAGTTTGTAAAACTGCATCTCCAGATGAATAGAAAGCTAGATCAAGATGCTAAGTCTGTTTATGGAAATAAGACATTAATGCCAGCCAACAGTATTTCATGTTCTTGATAGGCATGTTTGTTCTCTGTTGCAGGTCCGAGGTAATAAAGGTGATGTGCTCTATGTTTTGGATGCCAGTAACCCTCGCCATGCCAACTGGCTGCGTTTTGTCCACCAGGCACCATCGCAAGAAGAGAAGAACCTGGCAGCCATCCAGGTACAACCCCACTCTGGAGATAGTAAGACCTTCAGACCTATGTCCACAGGGACAGGCACAGAAAGAGCTCTGTATGAGCACACATCTCAGAGAGAGAAGGGGGGAGAGAGAGAGAGAGACACACAGAGAGAAAAACAGAGAGAGAGAGAGAAGATGGACATCGGAGAGAAAAGGTTGAGAAAGTGTAGAAGAGAAGAGAGGGAAAGTTAGTAAGAGTGAGTTGAGATAGATAGTGGGAGTGAAATGAAGATGAGGAATATGGATTTTCTTGTTTTGTCTGCCTGTGCAGACAGCTTGTAAGATTGCACCATGTGCTGCTGATCAAGCCTGCCATATCAGAAGGAGATGTGAAGGTGGATCTGCTTGATGACTATAAAATGAGGTGTCTTAAACAGCTGTAAGTAACACCCTCTAAGTGTCTGAAATGATTATGAAAATATTTGCTAGTGCCTTGTGCATCCCTTACACTCTAACAGATTAACGTCCGTTCTAAATGTAACAAAACATGTCAGTCTCTGTGATTAAGATCAGATTCATTATATCCATAATCCCACAAACACAGACAACCCATACACAATCAAATCTGTTGGCCAAAGTCATGAACACACACATCATGTGTATAGTGCATTCGGAAAGTATTCAGACCCCTTGACTCTTTCCACATTTTGTTACGTTACAGCCTTATTCAAAAATTGATTAAATGTTTTTTTTCCCCCTCATCAATCTACACACAATACCCCATAATAACAAAGGAAAAACAGGTTTTTAGAAATTTTTGCAAATGTATAAAAAATAAAACACTGAAATATCACATTTACATAAGTATTCAGACCCTTTACTCAGTACTTTGTTGAAGCACCTTTGGCAGCGATTACAGTCTCGAGTCTTCTTGGGTATGACGCTACAAGCTTGGCACACCTGTATTTGGGGAGTTTCTCCCATTCTTCTCTACAGATCCTCTCAAGCTCTGTCAGGTTGGATGGGGAGCGTCGCTGCACAGCTATTTTCAGGTCTCCCCAGAGATGTTCGATCGGGTTCTGGCTGGGCCACTCAAGGACATTTAGAGACTTGTCCCGAAGCCACTCCTGCGTTGTCTTGGCTGTGTACTTAGGGTTGTTGTCCTGTTGGAAGGTAAACTATCGCCCCAGTCTGAGGTCCTGAGCGCTCTGGAGCAGGTTTTCATCAAGGATCTCTCTATACTTTGCTCTGTTCATCTTTCCCTCGATCCTGACTAGTCTCCCAGTCCCTACTGCTGAAAAACATCCCCACAGCATGATGCTGCTACCACCATGCTTCACCGTAGGGATGGTGCCAGGTTTCCTCCAGATGTGACGCTTGGCATTCAGGCCAAGGAGTTCAATCTTGGTTTCATCAGACCAGAGAATCTTGTTTCTCATGGTCTGAGAGTCTTTAGGTGCCTTTTGGCAAATTCCAAGCGGGCTGTCATGTGCCTTTTCCTATGGAGTGGCTTCCATCTGGCCACTCTACCATAAAGGCCTGATTGGTGGAGTGCTGCAGAGATGGTTGTCCTTCTGGAAGGTTCTCCCATCTCCACAGAGGAACTCTGGAGCTCTGTCAGAGTGACCATCGGGTTCTAGGTCACCTTCTTGACCAAGGCCCATCTCCCCCGATTGCTGAGTTTGGCCGGGCGGTCAGCTCTAGGATGAGTCTTGGTGGTTCCAAACTTCTTCCATTTAAGAATGATGGAGGCCACTGTGTTCTTGGGGACCTTCAATGCTGCAGAAATGTTTTGGTACCCTTCCCCTGATTTGTGCCTCAACACAATCCTGTCTCAGAGCTCTACGGACAATTCCTTCGACCTCATAGCTTGGTTTTTGCTCTGACATGTACTGTCAACTATGGGACCAATAGACGGGTGTGTGCCTTTCCAAATCATGTCCAATCAATTGAATTTACCATAGGTGGACTCCAATCAAGTTGTAGAAACATCTCAAGTATGATCAATGGAAACAGGATGCACCTGAGCTCAATTTCGAGTCTTGTAGCAAAGGGTCTGAATACTTATGTAAATAAGGTATTTTTGTTTTTTATTGTTACAAAACATTTGGAAACGTTTCAAAAAACCTGAAAAGCTTTGTTATTATGGGGTATTGTGTGTAGATTGATGAGGCCATTTTTTTATTTAATCGATTTTAGAATAAGGCTGTAACGTAACAAAATGTGGAAAAAGTCAAGGGGTCTGAATACTTTCCGAATGCACTGTACATTAGCTTATGCACTTAAACACACACACATGTTTCTTTTACTGTCCTTGTAGAGACCAAACAATTGATTCCCATTCAAAATCCTATTTCCCCTAACCCTAACCTAAACCCCTAACCCTAACTCATAACCCTGACCCTAATTGTAACCCTAAACCTAACCCCTAAGTGTAAAATATTATTTTTCCTTGTGGGGACCAGCGAAATGTCCCCACTTGTTGACTTTTCCTTGTTTTACTATCCTTGTGAGAACTTCAAGGATAGTAAAACCAAACACACACACACACAGTCACGGTTTGGCCTGGGAAATCTCAGCTCTCTAAGAACGTAATTGTTCTCTAGAGGAAGAGGGGAAAACAACTGTAGAAGGAAGGGAAGAAGAACAGGACTTGTGGTCGTCTGGCTGAGCTTCTGTCATTAATGCCAGAGTGCTAAAAGTGATTGCATGTTCAAAGGTCACTCGTGTGTTAGAGCTCTGTGTTACATCAAAAGTGACATTTATTGTGTTTTTCCCTGTTTAATTAATATATATGTGTATTTATAAATCCCTTAGCCAAAGAGCCAAAGGAAAATTACGATTTGATTTCATTAGAGCGTGACCTTTAGGTATATGGAAGTTAATGACGACATGTTTAGGGGTTTGAGTGCTTGACCTCTGACCTTAATCAAGCCTTAGCAGACGAGTGTCTAGGTTCAATGAGTTCAACCTTCAGCTACCCCCTTTCTTCCTCTGTCTGTGTGTGTGTGTGTGTGTTCTGATCTCTCAGGATGGAGAGAATATCTTCTACCTGGCAGTGGACGACATTGAGACAGACACAGAAATGCTGATAGGCTACCTGGACAGTGATATGGAGGAAGAGGAAGAGGAAGAGGAAATCATCAAAGATGAAGATGAAAACAGCAAAGAGGCCAAACATCTTATTGAAATGGGTACATGCCTATCAGTTTTATACCAACCATGTTTATAAACCCTGTTTTGTCGGTCCAATAGTTTGCTTGAAATGTTAATGTGCGTGCACGTTCGTGTGTGTGTAATGTGTGTGTGTGTATAGAACTGGTAATCAAGAAGGAGGACCACCCGTGCCTGCTGTGTGAGAGCAGCTTCCCTAGTGAGGAGATCCTAGCAGCCCACCTCCAGAGCCTGCACCAGAGACCAATCACAGAGGAGAAAGAGTACAAGTGCAGGAACTGTGGCAAGAAGTTCCCCATCAAACAAGCCCTGCAGCGCCAGTGTGTAGCCTACGTCATCTCTCTACTCTACTTACCTGACACTCTATTGAGTTACACAGAAGTATGCTACCAAACGGATCATATAGTGGAACTGACAGATTTGCACACACTCCAGTAAAACATGTTTTACACCTGAATCAGCCTCTCTATTAGTTTCCTGATGTAGGCTACTTGGATTTAAAAAAAATAGTATTTCCTTATATAGAATTTCTGTTAATATCTTTATACTCCTGTCTGACTCTGTACACCTCCTTTATTTTCCCTCAGTGTTCTGCACTGTGCTGAGACCCTGGGTCCTTCAGTGGACTCCTCCAGAGCCCACCACCAGTGTTCCCCCTGCCACATCACCTTCAGCTCAGAGTCCAGGTAGGCCTACATAACTAGAAACATACATAGTAGAGTAACATGCATACAGGGGCTGCTACAGTGCCTTGCAAAAGTATTCATCCCCCTTGGCGTTTTTCCTATTTTGTTGCATTACAACCTGTAAGTTAAATAGATTTTTATTTGGATTTCATGTAATGGACATACACAAAATAGTGAAATGAAAAAAATAACTTGTTTCAAAAAATTCAAAAAAATAAATAACGGAAAAGTTGTGCGTTTTATATGTATTCACCCCCTTTGCTATGAAGCCCCTAAATAAGATCTGGTGCAACCAATTACCTTCAGAAGTCACATAATTAGTTAGATTACACACAGGTGGACTTTATTTAAGTGTCACATGATCTGTCACATGATCTCAGTATATATACACCTGTTCTGAAAGGCCCCAGAGTCTGCAACACCACTAAGCAAGGGGCACCACCAAGCAAGCGGCACCATGAAGACTAAGGAGCTCTCCAAACAGGTCAGGGACTAAGTTGTGGAGAAGTACAGATCAGGGTTGGGTTTTTAAAAAAATATCTGAAACTTTGAACATCCCACGGAGCACCATTAAATCCATTATAAAAAAATTGAAAGAATATGGCACCACAACAAACGTGCCAAGAGATGGCCGCTCACCAAAACTCACGGACCAGGCAAGGTGTCACACCCTGGCTCTGGGGACTCTATATGTTGAGCCAGGGTGTGTAGATTCTATGTGTTTATGTTCTGTGTGGGAGTTCTAGTTGTTGTATTTCTATGTTGGCCAGAGTGGCTCCCAATCAGAGGCAACGAGTGTCAGCTGTTGCTGGTTGTCTCTGATTGGGAGCCATATTTAAACAGTCTGTTTCCCTTAGTGTTTGTGGGATCTTGTTCCGTTTGGTTTGTTTCTGTGTTAACCGTAGGACTGCACGTTTCGTTTATTGTTTTGTTGTTATATTATCACTTAAGATAATAAAGTTAAGTATGTTCGCAACCAACGCTGCGCATTGGTCTACTCCGTCTAACGATCGTGACAGAAGATCCCACCATACCAGGACCAAGCAGCGTGTCCAGGAGCAGGCAGCCTGGACGTGGGAGCAAATATTGGACGGGCAGGGGTCCTGGACCTGGGAGGAAATCCAGGCCGGGATGGATCGCCGTCCATGGAGTGAGACGGTAGAGGCGCGACGGAGAGAGGAGCAACGGCGTCAACAGTGTCGTCGTCGGACGGACGAGAGGCAACCCCAAAACATTTTTAGGGGGGGGCATACGGCATGGGCGACGGGGCAGCAGGAGGCAGCTACAGGGCGTATTAGGAGGTTAGGTGAGGAGGCCACCAGGTTAAGGGGGCTATTGGTGCAGAGGGAGCAGGAGTTAGTGGTGCAGAGGGTAGAGTTACTGGAGGCGATAAGGGAGAAGGTGAGAATAGAGGCACGGCGAGAGGAACTAGGTAGGCAGCTGAGGGAGCGGAGGGTTATGACGAAACCCAGTCCCGCTCCTCACACCAAGCAAGTGGTGTGCGTCACCAGTCCGGTCCGGCCCGTTCCTGCTCCCCGCACTAAGTTAATGGTGCGCGTCGCCAGTCCGGCCCGACCTGTTCCTGCCCCTCGCACCAAGCCTAGGGTGCGCGTCGCCAGCCCGGCCCAGCCTGTTCCTGTCCCACACACCAAGCCTACGGTGCGCGTCGCCAGCCCGGCCCGGCCTGTTCCTGCTCCCCGCACCAAGCCTACGGTGCGCGTCGCCAGCCCGGCCCGGCCTGTTCCTGCTCCCCGCACCAAGCCTACGGTGCGCGTCGCCAGCCCGGCCCGGCCTGTTCCTGTCACTCGCACCAAGCCTACGGTGCGCGTCGCCAGCCCGGCCCGGCCTGTTCCTGCTCCACGCACCAAGCCTACGGTGCGCGTCGCCAGCCCGGCCCGGCCTGTTCCTGCTCCACGCACCAAGCCTACGGTGCGCGTCGCCAGCCCGGCCCGGCCTGTTCCTGCTCCACGCACCAAGCCTACGGTGCGCGTCGCCAGCCCGGCCCGGCCTGTTCCTGCCACTCGCACCAAGCCTACGGTGCGCGTCGCCAGCCCGGCCCGGCCTGTTCCTGCCACTCGCACCAAGCCTACGGTGCGCGTCGCCAGCCTGGCCCGGCCTGTTCCTGCCACTCGCACCAAGCCTACGGTGCGCGTCGCCAGCCCGGCCCGGCCTGTTCCTGCCACTCGCACCAAGCCTATGGTGCGCGTCGCCAGCCCGGCCCGGCCTGTTCCTGCCACTCGCACCAAGCCTACGGTGCGCGTCGCCAGCCCGGCTCGGCCTGTTCCTGCCACTCGCACCAAGCCAGGGGTGCGAGTCGTCAGCCCGGTAAGGCCCGTTGCTGCTCCACGCACCAAGCCTGGGGTGCGCATCGTCAGCCCGGTCCGGTCCGTTCCTGCTTCACGCACCAAGCCAGGGGTGCGCGTCATCAGTCCGGCACAACCCGTGCCTGGGTCACCGGTGCCTGGTCAGGTACCGGTCAGCTGCTCCACACCGGAGCTTAAGCAATCCGCTCCTACGATGTCCAGTCCAGCTCCAGCCAGCGGGGCCAGACCGGACCAGGGGCGCTACGGGGGGATTATTGGAGGATGGTGGGCAAGCCCGGAGCCGGAACCGCCTCCGAGGAGGAATGCCCACCCAGCCCTCCCCTGGTTTGTCTATGTGGAGGCGCGGTCGCAGTCCGCGCCTTTGGGGGGGGGGGGGTACTGTCACACCCTGGCTCTGGGGCCTCTATATGTTGAGCCAGGGTGTGTAGATTCTATGTGTTTATGTTCTGTGTGGGAGTTCTAGTTGTTGTATTTCTATGTTGGCCAGAGTGGCTCCCAATCAGAGGCAACGAGTGTCAGCTGTTGCTGGTTGTCTCTGATTGGGAGCCATATTTAAACAGTCTGTTTCCCTTAGTGTTTGTGGGATCTTGTTCCGTTTGGTTTGTTTCTGTGTTAACCGTAGGACTGCACGTTTCGTTTATTGTTTTGTTGTTATATTATCACTTAAGATAATAAAGTTAAGTATGTTCGCAACCAACGCTGCGCATTGGTCTACTCCGTCTAACGATCGTGACACAAGGAGGGCATTAATCAGAGAGGCAACAAAGAGACCAAAGATAACCCTGAAGGAGCTGCAAAGCTCCACAGTGGAGATTGGAGTATCTGTCCATAGGACCACATTAAGCCGTACACTCCACAGAGCTGGGCTTTACGGAAGAGTGGCCAGAAAAAAGCCATTCCTTAAAGAAAAATATAAGCAAACACGTTTGGTGTTTGCCAAAAGGCATGTGGGAGACTCCCCAAACATATGGAAGAAGGTACTCTGGTCAGATGAGACTAAAATTGAGCTTCTTGGCCATCAAGGAAAACTCTATGTCTGGCGCAAACCCAACACCTCTCATCACCCTGAGAACACCATCCCCACAGTGAAGCATGGTGGTGGCAGCATCATGCTGTGGGGATGTTTTTAATCGGCAGGGACTGGGAAACTGGTCAGAATTGAAGGAATGATGGATGGCGCTAAATACAGGGATATTCTTGAGGGAAACCTGTTTGTCTTCCAGAGATTTGAGACTGGGACGGAGGTTCACCTTCAAGCAGGACAATGACCCTAAGCATACTGCTAAAGCAACACTCGAGTGGTTTAAGGGGAAACATTTAAATGTCTTGGAATGGCCTAGTCAAAGCCCAGACCTCAATCCAATTGAGAATATGTGGTATGACTTAAAGATTGCTGTACACCAGCGGAACCCATCCAACTTGAAGGAGCTGGAGCAGTTTTGCCTTGAAGAATGGGCAAAAATCCCAGTGGCTAGATGTGCCAAGCTTATAGAGACATACCCCAAGAGACTTGCAGCTGTAATTGCTGCAAAAGGTGGCTCTACAAAGTATTGACTTTGGGGGGATGAATAGTTATGCACGCTCAAGTTTTCTGTTTTTTTGTCTTATTTCTTGTTTGTTTCACAAAAAAAAATATTTTGCATCTTCAAAGTGGTAGGCATGTTGTGTAAATCAAATGATACAAACCCCCAAAAAATCAATTTTTATTCCAGGTTGTAAGGCAACAAAATACGAAAAATGCCAAGGGGGGTGAATACTTTCGCAAGCCACTGTATCTGTCGGAGTTGTTGTCTGATTTCCTGTGTGTGTAGTTATGACCAGCACAAGGAGGCGTGTAGAGGAGATGCCAGGTTCATCTGTAAGGCTGAGAGCTGTGGGAAGAGGTTCAAGAGCAAAGACGCTCTGAAGAAACACAAAGGGAACGTCCACACAGGTTGGTCTCCGTCTCACACATACGCAGGTACTCAATGTATACAGACACAGGAAACAATGATGATAAGTAGAAATATGTATCTGCCTTGATCTTTTACCAGTCTGGTCAGTATCAGGAGTGTGTAGGCGAGGGGGATGTGGTTTAGGCCCTACAGATGTGGCACACGTGACTCATAAATAAATGACTGGGGGGATTCTCTCTGAGAATGGGGGAGTTCAGGTTTTGTCACTTTAATGAGTTGGTGGCAAACTGATTTTATTAGTGACCCTGTCATGTTTATGCTATGTCTTGGTTGCCCCGACAGTCGGAAGAGAACATACAGTCAGGTCCAAAATTATTGGCACCGTTGATAAAGATGATATAAAATAAATAATACAAATACTGATCTATATTGTATGGTGAAAAAAAAAGCACAATTATATTCTTTTATACTAATACAATTGCTCAGAGAAACAGATTTTGTTCAACAAGTAATAAAACAAAATAAAAGATAGTGGTCAAAATTATTGGCACCCCTGTTTTCAATAATACTCCAGCACCCTCCCATTGCGAGGATAAGTACACTGAGGCTTTTTCAAAAATGTTTTATGAGATTGGAGAACACATTGGGAGGGACCTTAGACCATTCCTCCATACAGAATCTTTCCAGATCCTTGATATCCTTCGTCTGCGCTTATGGACTGCCCTCTTCAATTCAGACTACATGTTTTCAATGGGGTTCAAGTCCGGAGACTGAGATGGCCATTGCAAAATGTTGATTTTGGGGTCAATTAACAATTTCTTTATGGATGCTTCCGCTTCCATTTTTCGATGCCAAACCCACCACTGGTGTGCATGGCCAAAGAGCTTTATTTCCATGTCATCTGACTATGGCACCAGTTACAATCCATGTGCCAATGCCGTTTATCAAACTCCAGGTGGGGCCATGGCCAGATGACATGAAAATAAAGCTCTTTGGTCACGCACACCAGTGGTGGGTTTGGTGTCGAAAAATGGAAGCATATGCTGAGAAGTACCTCATACCTACTGTAAGATATGGTGTTGGATCTTCAACGTTATCGGGCTATTTTGTGTCCGGTGATCCTGGGGCCCTTGTTAAGCAGCCATCAAAATCCGCAAATAAACTGTTAATTGATCACACTACCTGTGGTCTGAATTGAAGAGGGCAGTCCATAAGAGCAGACGGAAGGATATCAAGGATCTGGAAAGATTCTGTATGGAGGAATGGTTTAAGATCCCTCCCAATGTTTCTCATAAAACATTTTAGAAAAGGCTGTGTTGTTATCCTCCGAAGAGGTGGGTACTGAAAACAGGGGTGGCAATAATTCTGATTGTTAAACAAAACCTCTTTCTCTGAGCAATTGTATTAGTATAAAATAATATAATTTTCAGATTTTTTTGAACATACAATATAGCTTAGTGTTTGTATTATTTATTTTATACAGTCTTTTTTGCTAATCTTTATCAAGGGATCCAATAATTTTGGACCTGACCGTACATTTGGTAGTTAAACTTTGACCTCAAGTGATTATCTGATTTGATGTGTGTATTTGTCTGGTTGTGCTTCAGATTAAATTGGCTTTGCCATGAGGTGAGTGATGATGCTGTTCACTAACATGTGGAATGCCCTGACCATTGTTGTCATTGCTAGCCACCACATTATCACACTGTAGATTGAGACATGTAGAGCAGGATTGGTCACTCTGCTTGTCGAATCATTGTGTTTCAGGAAGTTCCAGGCGGAAGCTCATGTGCACCATCTGCAACAGGAAATGCTCCTCCTTACTGAATCTCCAGGAACATCGTAAGGTCTGGCTCCTACCTACTACCTCACTGTCTCACCTACCTAACTGTCTCACTGTTACACTGTCTCTGGCCAACCCTTAACCCGTATTCCTAGACACGATTTGGTCCTTCAGAGATCTGGAAGGACTGGATAGGTGTAAGCTGTATGTTTTATTGGCCCCACCTATCCCTCTGGTATTAGGGCCAGGGGCTAGTGGTTGGTTTCACACTGGCCATGTCTCTTTAAGGTCTATATCCTTCATATCATGTATTTTTGTTCCATTCCTTTGTGTCCCTATCCCTTCCCTAATCCCATGCTTGCCGTCTGCTCCTGTCTTACTCTTCTTCTCTCTCAGTAGGAGGTTGGCTTTATGTTAAAGTTGTTACATTTTCAGACCGTGTGACAGTAGAGAAAGGTTGGATTTTATTTCACAAGCTCATCCCCACAGACTCTCATGAAACTTAAGAGGCATGGCGAGCAGACAATAAGGCTTTAACCCTGGCGTCAGGATACTTCCTCTTAGAGATGGATCTCTTAGAAAAATACTGAACAATTACAGGACCACAAAACCATTATATTGCATTACTTTTAGAGATTAATGGAGGTAAGGTATTCCCATCACAAACTATCTCACAGTGAGGCATTTTCGTCTGCATGAAATGAAATATATTTGCAGTGAGTTATTTGATTGTTTTGCGATTGGTTTGGCTTCCCATCCAAATGAGGGTTTGATATTTATGACCAGTGAACTCGGCTGGTGTTTGGGTAAAGTTTCATTTTCCCTGTCAACATCTATCCAATAGATTAATCAGAAGACATTACTATTACTCCACTCTAATGAACTGAACATGGTCATAAGTGATTAATCACGAACATACTTTATGAGCAACTGTTAATCATTTAAGAAATGTTTAGATAGTTCTACAACAGATCAATCAACCTATCAACCAACCAACCTGCCAGTCAATCAATCAGTTTTCATATTGTGTTTATAAACTTCCACCCAATGTATTTGAGTGCATTGCCCTATTCTGACCTTTTCATTCTGTCAAAGCCAGTTCCATCAATTCTATATGTGGTACATGTGAACTTGAAAAAGTTTTTAGCAGTCTTTGCTTGTTAATGAATCTCTAGTCATCAGTCTTTACCTTTGTGAGAGGCTCTTTCCTCATTAACAGTAGTTACAGAAAATGTGATTTGATACAGGGAAATTTGGGTCAGTCACAAACTTGAATTCTCTTGTATGATGTAGTTTATTCAGAAATGTTTAAAAAGTCATACTTACACACAGCTGGAATGTTGCAGATGTTATTGGAAGAATCATTTTCTGAGGTTTGAAAAGCATTAAGCAAAGAAAGAGAAAAAAGTGTTGGACCAAAGTTCTATGGAACAGAAGACGTATTACAGCTGAGCTTTGGACAAAGACACTTTAGAACGTAGCACAAGAGTGATCAAACTTTCCATAATGACAAGTTTGCACAAAAGCTACTTAAACCAGCCATTGTGATAATTTGCCTGAACTGCTCAATCTTAGTTTTATTATAGAAGCTCTGAGCAGAGGAGCTATTCAGTCTTAGCATATTGAAGCATTAGGCAGAAGAGCTATCAAATATTATATTATTACAACCATGCTGAGAGCAGAAGAGGGATTCAAACTTTTCAGCAGTTTAATTATATTTCTGTGTGCAGACGTAGTTGAGCAAGGAGTAAAAGTGTGTATGTGTGTCTCTGAATGTACTCTCCTATCTGCAAGTGTGGAAAAGGTCACACAGTGTCATTTACAGTACACAGTGAGCCAAGAAATACTATCTTTCTGTATCACCTCCAGGGTTGAGGTCAATTAGGAATTTCTGAATGTAATTAAATTCAAACAATTAATTTGAATCAAATTTGAATTGGCCACACCTCACAGGAAGCAGAATTTGAGTTGAGGAAGTAGAATTTAATTCAAAGGAGTTCAACTGAGACGTGAAACATGAAAGTCTCATTCATTTGTCAAATATTTAATCTAAAGGATATGCCACTTATTAATCAGAAGAATACACCTACCATTTCAAATAGTGGTTTGATTATAACTCAAAGATGTCAAACAGTATTTTTTTTTTGTCATGAGTTGTTAGATTGTTCCCTTCCATACTGCAGTGTTTGATCTAATGCATTCTGGTAAATGTATTTTTTCTGATATCAAAGACAACCCATAACATGATCTTAGAATATTTCCAGACCATAGTAATTATTTAAAATTGTTTTAGGAGAATGAGTTTTAAAAATCTAATGTTTCAACCTTATGCTGCATGGTATTGGTAACCATACAGTACTTCATGTCAAAATACAAATGTCTATGGTGTAGAATAAATAAGTCATTTGAATTTCATTGAATTAAATTCTACTTCCTTTCATTCAAATTGAATTACAATTCTGCTTCCTTGGAATTAAAGAGCAATTCGCAACTCAATTCAGAATTAACCTCAACACTGATCACTTCACACCACGATCTCTAACTCTTACATAACCACCCTGTGTGTCTGGTCTTTTGGGTACTATATGAATCTCTAGGTACACGAGATATTTGACTGTACTGCCTGCGACAAGAAATTCATCTCTACCAATCAGCTCAAGCGCCACATGATCACTCACTCAGGTAAGAGAGCACACGCACACAGAGCTACGGTCAGACATGGTATACTCTCTCTCTCTCTCTCTCTCTCTCTCTCTCTCTCTCTCTCTCTCTCTCTCTCTCTCTCTCTCTCTGTCTCTCTGTCTCTGTCTCTGTCTCTGTCTCTCTCTCTCTCTGTCTGATTGTCTGTCTGTCTCTGGTTAGAGAAACGTCCGTACACCTGTGAGATCTGCAGTCGTTCGTTCAAGCGTCTGGACCAGGTGACGGCCCATAAGATTATCCACAGTGAAGACAAGCCCTACAAGTGTAAGCTGTGTGGAAAGGAGTTTGCCCACCGGAACGTCTACAAGAACCACAAGAAGGTGAGCAGGGAACAGGAAGGGTCTGAAAGCTCTAGATTTAAATAGTTGGTTTTTAATATGCAAATTCTACTGATGGAGATAATGCTGAAACTTAGGCAAGATTTTAAGTGATGGCATGTATAGCCTAGTATAAACAAGCACATACACATAAGCAAACACACAAGCATACTCTCACTGGTTCAGAGCTAATATTATTAGTGATAGCCTAAAACCAGAGGTCTCTTCAGTTGTCTTTGGGGTTCTGTAGGGTCAGTGGCCTGTCTCATGTTTACCCAAGGGAATGGGGCGGCACTCAGACACAGGTTAGAGCAGGGGCACAGATAAACACAAGCGCTTTGAACCTAAGCCCCTCAAGCTACTTGTCTTCATCAAGTCAACAAACCAAATCAGCCATGGAGCCTAACCCCAACTCTATCCCCAACCCCAATGCTTACACATCTGATCCCACATCAACACACAGACAGGAGACAGCTCAGATTGAACCAAGAGGAGAGATGGAGGAGCAGTTTAGAGAGAGTGAGAGAACTGTTTAGTTATATTTAGGGGGTGTCAGGGCTCCACGTTAGCTCTGTTAGCTGTTCTCATGAACCGACCGCAAACATAAAATACTTATTCACTCTATCAGTAAATTAAATAGAAAAGAAGGAAGGTATATGTTTTGATGGTCAGCAAACTGGGACAGTATGTGTATATCAAGATGTAGAGAGGGCAAGTTCGAGGTAGTATTCAATGATGCTGTGTACCTTTAAAGGGATACCTCGGGATTTTAGCAATGACTATTTTTTCCCATACACACGTATACGCACACTTTAACACTTGATTCATAATACCAGCCCCCATAGCCCAGTATGCTAACTAGCTTTAGCGCAATGACTGGAAGTCTATGGAAATCTGATAGCATGCTAGTAGATACCCATAGACTTCCAGTCATTGCGCTAATGCTAGTTAGCATTGGCTCATGAAACTACCTCTAACTTCTTTCATATACTAGACACATTATCCACGAGTTCATCTGACTCTGGGGAAGTAGATAAAGGGCCTCATTGCTATAATCCTGAAGTATTCTTTTAACCATGAATGCTGTCCTGTTCTTTCTCTAGACTCACTCAGAGGAAAGGCCCTTCCAATGTGAGGAGTGCAAGGCCCTGTTCCGCACCCCATTCTCTTTACAGCGCCACCTGCTCATCCACAACAGTAAGTATGAGTGTCTTTGTGTGTGTATCTCTGAGTGCAAGAGTGGGTTCATACTACCTTAACTGGCTAGCCACTAGTACCTACATTCAAGGCCCCTGCCAACACATAATTTTTTTAATTTTTAAATTTCACCTTTATTTAACCAGGTAAGCCAGTTGAGAACAAGTTCTCATTTACAACTGCGACCTGGCCAAGATAAAGCAAAGCAGTGCGATAAAAACAACACAGAGTTACATATGGGCTAAACAAAACATAAAGTCAAAAATACAACAGAAAATAAATATACAATGTGTGCGAATGTAGTAAGTTATGGAGGTAAGGCAATAAGTAGACCATAGTGCAAAATAGTTACAATTTAGTATTAACACTGGAATGATAGATGTGCAAAAGATGATGTGCAAATAGAGATACTGGGGTGCAAATGAGCAAAAATAAATAACAATATGGGGATGAGGTAGTTGGGTGGGCTAATTTCAGAATGGCTGTGTACAGGTGCAGTGATCGGTAACCTGCTCTGACAACTGACGCTTGAAGTTAGTGAGGGAGATAAGAGTCTCCAGCTTCAGAGATTTTGGCAGCAGAGAACTGAAAGGAATGGCGGCCAAAGGAGGTGTTGGCTTTGGGGATGACCAGTGAGATATACCTGCTGGAGCGCAGACTACGGGTGGGTGTTACTATGGTGACCAGTGAGCTAAGATAAGACTGGGATTTGCCTAGCAGTGCTTTATAGATGGCCTGGAGCCAGTGGTTTTGGCGACGAATATGTAGTGAGGGCCAGCCAACAAGAGTGTACAGGTCACAATGGTGGGTAGTATATGGGGCTTTGGAGACAAAACGGATGGCACTGTGATAGACTACATCCAATTTGCTGAGTAGAGTGTTGGAGGCTATTTTGTAAATGACATCGCCGAAGTCAAGGATTGGTAGGATAGTCAGTTTTACGAGGGCATGTTTGGAAGCATGAGTGAAGGAGGCTTTGTTGTGAAATAGGAAGCTGATTCTAGATCTAACTTTTGATTGGAGATGCTTGATGTGAGTCTGGAAGGAGAGTTTAAAGTCTAACCAGACACCTAGGTATTTGTAGTTGTCCACATACTCTAAGTCAGAGCATCCGGTTCCCAAATCCCCATGGATGCTATAGCCCTTAGTTCAAACCTCTCTTTACCAGCAGATACTGAGGGCTTCCACAGCCTCCTTCTGGTCCTTTGTGGTCCTCCTAGCCCTCAGTGTCATAGCCCTGCAGACAGAGACAGTGGTCCTTGAGGACTGAGACTGAGGAGCCCTGCAGACAGTTGGTCTTGGCAGGATGGAGTCCTTCATGGTCTCACAGTCGAGACTGAGGACACATAGATTGTGAAGCTCAAGGCATTTCCTTCCTGTGTCTCTGGATACAGATCACTATTCACACAAATCAGTGGGATACTGGACCATGGGGGCTGGTATTATGAATCAGGTGCGAAAGTGTGTGTGTTTATGGGAAAATCGAGTGAGAGAAACAGCATGTGGGAGGAAAGTGAGTGAAAGTCCGTATATACAGTGAGGGAAAAAAGTATTTGATCCCCTGCTGATTTTGTACGTTTGCCCACTGACAAATAAATTATCAGTCTATAATTTTAATGGTAGGTTTATTTGAACAGTGAGAGACAGAATAACAACAACAAAAATCCAGAAAAACTCATGTCAAAAATGTTATAAATTGATTTGCATTTTAATGAGGGAAATAAGTGTTTGACCCCCCCTCAATCAGAAAGATTTCTGGCTCCCAGGTGTCTTTTATACAGGTAACGAGCTGAGATTAGGAGCACACTCTTAAAGGGAGTACTCCTAATCTCAGCTTGTTACCTGTATAAAATACACCTGTCCACAGAAGCAATCAATCAATCAGATTCCAAACTCTCCACCATGGCCAAGACCAAAGAGCTCTCCAAGGATGTCAGGGACAAGATTGTAGACCTACACAAGGCTGGAATGGGCTACAAGACCATCGCCAAGCAGCTTGGTGAGAAGGTGACAACAGTTGGTGCGATTATTCGCAAATGGAAGAAACACAAAATAACTGTCAATCTCCCTCGGCCTGGGGCTCCATGCAAGATCTCACCTCGTGGAGTTGCAATGATCATGAGAACGGTGAGGAATCAGCCCAGAACTACACGGGAGGATCTTGTCAATGATCTCAAGGCAGCTGGGACCATAGTCACCAAGAAAAAAATTGGTAACACACTACGCCGTGAAGGATTGAAATCCTCAAGGTCCCCCTGCTCAAGAAAGCACATATACAGGGCCATCTGAAGTTTGCCAATGAACATCTGAATGATTCAGAGGAGAACTGGGTGAAAGTGTTGTGGTCAGATGAGACCAAAATCGAGCTCTTTGGCATCAACTCAACTCGCCGTGTTTGGAGGAGGAGAAATGCTGCCTATGACCCCAAGAACACCATCCCCACCGTAAAACATGGAGGTGGAAACATTATGCTTTGGGGGTGTTTTATGCTAAGGGAACAGGACAACTTCACTGCATCAAAGGGACGATGGACGGGGCCATGTACCGTCAAATCTTGGGTGAGAACCTCCTTCCCTCAGCCAGGGCATTGAAAATGGGTTGTGGATGGGTATTCCAGCATTCCACAATGACCCAAAACACACGGCCAAGGCAACAAAGGAGTGGCTCAAGAAGAAGCACATTAAGGTCCTGGAGTGGCCTAGCCAGTCGCCAGACCTTAATCCCATAGAAAATCTGTGGAGGGAACTGAAGGTTCGAGTTGCCAAACGTCAGCTCGAAACCTTAATGATTTGGAGAAGATCTGCAAAGAGGAGTGGGACAAAATCCCTCCTGAGATGTGTGCAAACCTGGTGGCCAACTACAAGAAACGTCTGACCTCTGTGATTGCCAACAAGGGTTTTGCCACCAAGTACTAAGTCATGTTTTGCAGAGGTGTCAAATACTTATTTCCCTCATTAAAATGCAAATCAATTCATAACATTTTTGACATGCGTTTTTCTGGATTTTTTTTGTTGTTATTCTGTGTCTCACTGTTCAAATAAACCTACCATTAAAATTATAGACTGATCATTTCTTTGTCAGTGGGCAAACTTACTCAATCAGCAGGGGATCAAATACTGTTTTCCCTCACTGTACATACAGTGCATTCAGGAAGTATTCAGACCCCTTGACTTTTCCCAAATCTTTTACGTTACAGCCTTATTCTAAAATGGATTAAATTGTATTTTTCCCATCACAATACCCCATAATGACAAAGCAAAAACAGGTTTCTAGACATTTTTGCAACTTTATTAAAAATAAAGAACTGAAGTATTACATTTACATAAGTATTCAGACACTTTACTCAGTACTCTGTGGAAGCACCTTTGGCAGCGATTACAGCCTCAATTCTTCTTGAGTATGAAGCTACAAGCTTGGCACACCTGTATTTGGGGAGTTTCTCCCATTCTTCTCTGCAGATCCTCTCAAGCTCTGTCAGTTTGGATGGGGAGCGTCGCTGCACAGCTATTTTCAGGTCTCTCCAGAGATGTTCGATCGGGTTCAAGTCCGGGCTCTGGATGGGCACCTCAAAGACATTCAAAGACTTGTCCCGAAGCCACTCCTGCGTTGTCTTGGCTGTGTTCTTAGGGTCGTTGTCCTGTTGGAAGGTGAACCTTGCCCCAGTCTGAGGTCCTGAGCGCTCTGGTGCAGGTTTTCATCAAGGATCTCTCTGTACTTTGTGCCGTTCATCTTTCCCTCGATCCTGACTAGTCTCCCAGTCCCTGCTGCTGAAAAACATCCCCACAGCATGATGCTGCCACCACCATGCTTTACCGTAGTGATGGTGCCAGGTTTCCTCCAGACGTGACGCTTGGCATTCAGGCCAAAGAGTTCAATCTTAGTTTCATCAGACCAGAGAATCTTGTTTCTCATGGTCTGAGAGTCCTTCAGGTGCCTTTTGGCAAACTCCAAGTGGGCTGTCATGTGCCTTTTACTGAGGAGTGACTTCCGACTGGCCACTCTACCATAAAGGCCTGATTGGTGGAGTGCTGCAGAGATGGTTGTCTTTCTGGAAGGTTCTCCCATCGCCACAGAGGAACTCGGGAGCTTTGTCAGAGTGACCATCGGGTTCTTGATCACCTCCCTGACCAAGGCCCTTCTCCCCCGATTGCTCAGTTTGGCCTGGCGGCTAGCTCTAGGAAGAGTCTTGGTGGTTCCAAACTTCTTCCATTTAAGAATGATGGAGGCCACTGTGTTCTTGGGGACCTTCAATGTTATATAGACAGGTGTGTGCCTTTCCAAATAATGTCCATAGGGGGAGTAGCATGGGGTAGGGGGGAGCAGGTAGCTGACTGGTGGTGGCTATTCAGCAGCCTGATGGTCTGAGGGTAGAAACTATTGGCCAGTCCTTCAGTTTTTTTCCATGATGTGTCTGAGTGATTGAAGCGAGGAGAACAGGGCGTGGCTTGGGTGGCTGGGGTCCCTGATGATCTTCTTGGCCTTCCTGCGACACCTGCTGTTTTAAGTGTAGGGGAGGTAGTGTACACCCAATGGTGCGTTTTGGTTGTGTGTATCACCCTCTGAAGCGCCTTGCTTTCCGCGGCAGTGGAGTTGCCTTACCAGGCTGTGATGCAGCCCGACAGTATGCTCTCGATGGTGCTCCTGTAGAACACTGTAAGGGTCCTCGGGGATAGGCCGAATTAGTTCAGTATCCTGAGGTAGAAGAGTCGCTGTCGCGCCTTCTTCACCATGATATCAGTGTGGTTAGACTATTTCAGCTTCTCCGAGATGTGTACACTGAGGAATTCTTGATGCACACAGGAAACTGTTGAGCGTGAAAAACCTAGCAGCATTGCAGTTCTTTACACACTCAAACCGATGCGCCTGGTACCTACTAACATACCCCATTCAAAGGCACTTAAATATTTTGTCATGCCCATTCATCCTCTGAATGGCACACATACAAAATACGTCTCAATTGTCTCGAGGTTTAAAAATCCTTCTTTAATTAGCCTGTCTCCTCCCCTTCATTTACACTGATTTTGAAGTGGATTTAAAAAGTGACATCAATAAGGGATCATAGGTTTCACCTGTATTCACCTGGTCAGTCTGTGTCATGGAAAGAGCAGGTGTTCCTAATGTTTTGTACACTCAGTGTATGTTTCAGTGGACGCTTAGCCCTACCCTAATGTTTCCTCATGCATTGAGTTATGTGCATGCATGGATTAACCACCTCTTGTGTCATTTATTTTTGTGGGCCGTATGGTCATTGTCTTTGCCCATCTTTGATTTTCCTTTTTTCTTTCCTTTTTTTCTCTTCCATCATCCTTAGTTTTGAGGCTCGAAACATACAACAAAGTATTGTAATGTATTCTAAAGTCATTGTTCTATTGAATCCATTAAAGTAGCATGTGAACTTAAATTTGTTGGCTCTTCCCTGATGCTTTTTTCTTTTTTCCTTGGAGTCTTAATGGGCGTCCCCATATTGTGTCAGCATCCAAAGGACTACTAACTTAGGTCTACCGGCCGGCTCTCTCAGGGGTAAACACTTTTGTCCCCCAGCATACTGGCCTTTTCTATTTCGTTTTCTTCTGTTGGTTATTTAAATTGTATTTTAAATACTATAGAATTTTAATGCATTCACAATTGTAGACTGCACTATCATTTTGGGATTTAATGTTATGTTTTCTAAACTGTATTTCCATTTAAACTTTGTGCAAAGTGTCTTCAAATCTCAAGCTCTTGGATATATTTACATCTCAAGCTAACTCATGGGTAGTCTTAACCTCTTAACTTTTTTATTATTTTTAATAAAAAAAACATGTATTGGGTATTTTTATCAATGTCAATCAAACAAGAGATAGCAGTCACATGATTTGCCAAGCAACAAAACATGAGCGAGAAGGGGGGATTGATACAGCAGTTCAAGGTACAACTTTGATGCTGGAGATGGCATTTGACCAGCCCACTAGAGTTTTTGTAGCCGCGCCATGCAGCTTAGCTGTGGAATTTTTTGGTCTTATTTTTTGGGGGCGGTGGTTAGGGCACACATTAACAATTTCAATTTCATAGAATCCAATGGAATGTCACAAGCATTTCCTAGTAGAAACAGACCAGGCGACATAGGTACATTTACCTCTATCAAGGTGTGCAGAAGGTATTTAACGTATGTCCAGAGGTCAGAGACCACTGGGCATTCCCAAAACATATGTACATAGGTCCCGACTGAACCAAGACTGAACCGATTATCGAGATTATGGAAGCAGCGATATGGTGTAGAGTACAATTTGTGAATTAATTAATTAGTTAACTGGTGAGATTTATTTTTATGATGAGAAAACATTGTTCTATATTACCTTCCAGTTCAACTGTTCTCCAAAACCTAGGAGTTCTCTGTTACAGATGGAAGTGACCGCAGGTGTCGGTTGAGTTAAGTTTGGAGTAGAGAGAAAAGTTCGAAGACCTGAATTATCAAAGATGTCACTGAGGGTGAAAATATTTCTGCTAGAACATTGAGGAAAAACAAAGGGTTTGAGCTTGATAAGATTAGATTATTGTTCCATAATGGAGAATGGCAGTGAAAAGGGAATGAGATCAGGAGATCATGAGATGTCTATTGGCCTGTCTCCACACTTCAACTGCATTAGCAATTATTGGACACATTCAGAGACTTAGATTTTTGTTTAACCTTTTAACTTTAAACGTTCGAGGCTTGAACAGCCCTATCAAGAGAATTTGTTGTTTAGAGTAGTTACGATGTAGAAATATTGATTTCGCCTTCCTACAGGAGACCCATTTGATAGCCAATGATATCAATAGATTTCAGATTTTAAAAAATAAGATAATAGCTTACTCTTGTGCCCCAAACAAAACAAAGGGTGTTATGATTGTAATTATGAGGAAACTTCGAATGAAGGTGGGGGTATCTAGGGGAAACACAGAAGTATGGTATTGGTATGCCTCTGTTACTATTAATGGCACTCAATTATGTTTTTTGTCCTCCATTTATGCACCAAATTCTTTCGATAAATCCTTTTTTTAAGACCTGAAGCTTAAATGGTTAGACTTCCCAGACTCTGTTACCATCCTTGGGGGAGATTTTAACTTATATCTTGGCACGTCAGGCACCTTCAAATTATATTAAGACCTTTTTAGATGACTTGAACATCGTGGATCCCTAATGCCTAAGAAATCCTAGTATTAGAGTTTAAACCGTCTTTTCTCCCCGTCATCAGTCTTTCTCATGAATTGATTCTCTTCTCCACCCCAGTTTTTCTGAAATGTTAGGAATACCTGCTCTTTCCATCACCATAGACTGATCAGGTGAATCCAGGTGAAACCTATGATCCCTTATTGATGTCACTTGTTAAATCCACTTCAAATCAGTGTAGATGAAGGGGAGGAAACAGGTTAATTAAAGAAGGATTTTTAAGCCTTGATTTCTCCAGGATTCATGGCATTTCAATGTTTTTCTTTAGCAGGATAGGGAATTCTTAAACCAAATTTTGACTGGCAATAAGGATTTCTTACAGGTTAAATCACAACCAGAGGTAGACCCACATACATTATGGGAAGTAACGAATTGTTGCATTAGAGGAATAATGTGTAATTCCTTCTCATCACATGTATGCACACATGACTGTAAGTCGCTTTGGATAAAAGCGTCTGCTAAATGGCTTATTATTATTATTATTATTATTATTATTATTATTATAATTATTATAAAAAAACGCAACCTTCAGATTTCTTCATTAGAGAGAGAAATAGCCTGTCTAGAGTTGATGCAAAAGTACAACTATACTGAAGATGGGCAGATAGCACTGACAACATTCTAAAACTGAGCATAAGATGGTGACTAGTTCTAGGGCTGAATTTATTAATTTGAAAGCGAGACCGAGTAGGCACTTGGCAATGAAACTGAAGCAAACTGAACATCTTTTCATCTATTGATGTCATTAGGATTGGTGAACTTTGTACCCTTCCCTCCCAAATTAATCATACTTCACTACTTTGTATTCCAATCTGTATACCTTGGAGTTTCCTAAAGACTCTAAGATGTTAGCTTTTGGAACTGTCTGTTAATCAAGTCAGTCTATTAAATGCCCCATCTGAAGACTGCCTTAGATTCAATGTCAAAATCCAAGTCTCCAGGGTTGGATGGTATCCCTCCTGAATTATTGTTGGCTGTGTGGGATTTAGTCTGATCTGTATTACTAGACTCAATCAACCACTCGCTGGAGATAGGGAAATTCCATAGTGGACCAAAAACATATCTTATTTTTTATTTTACCTGTATTTAACTAGGCAAGTCAGTTAAGAACAAATTCGTATTTATAATGATGGCCTACCCCAGCCAAACCCGGACGACGCTGGGCCAATTGTGCGCCGCCCTATGGGACTCCCAATCCTGGCCGGATTGTGATACAGCCTGGAATCAAACCAAGGTCTGTAGTGACGCCTCTAGCACTGAGCTGCAGTGCCTTAGACCGCTGTGCCACTCAGAAGCCCAGGTGCCAAGGACCCGCTTGAATGTTCAAGCTACATGCCCTTATCAATTTTGAACTGTGATTTTAAACTCTTTGCGACGGTCTTGTCAAAAAGATTAGAGACTTGTATATCATCATTGGTTAATCCTGACCAATCAGGATTCATAAAGGGTTGGTTGGCCTTGGACAACATACGCCGCCTATTCCATATTGTAGACTCCACTGTCCTCGGTAGATATAGAGAAGGTGTTTGATGGTGTGGAATAGGAGTATTTATGGGCTGGTTTGGGTCAAAATGTATTAGTGTGATCAGCACCCTATATACCGACCCCACTGGTCGTATCCAGACTGGCCATTCCGCCGCCCCAAAGTTTGTCCTAAAAATATCCACAAGACAGGGTTGCCCACTGAGTCCTGGCCTATTTGCCCTTTCATTAGAACTGCTAGCCCAGGCCATTAGGCAAAATATTAACATCTTGCCTATTTATTTATTTATTTATTTTTATTTTACCTTTATTTAACTAGGCAAGTCAGTTAAGAACAAATTCTTATTTGCAATGACAGCCTACACCGGCCAAACCCGGACGACGCTGGGCCAATTGTGCGCCGCCCTGTGGGACTCCCAATCACGGCCGGTTGTGATACAGCCTGGAATCGAATGCAGTGCCTTAGACCGCTGCGCCACTCGCGAGATCAAAGAAACAGCGCACCATATCTCCCTGTATGCTGATGACATCTTACTGTATTTGTCCGATGTCTTTAATTCTATACCACACATACTTGACCTCTTTAAAGATTTTGGCTCTTTCTATGGCTATAAAATTAACTGGTCCAGGTCTATTTTAATGCTTCTAAACCCCACAGCTAAACAAGTCACATTACCCTTTTTACCTATCACTTAAGAAAATAAGGGATTTACATACCTGGGCATTCAAAATCGATCCAATTTGCATCTCATGATGAACGAGAAAAAAAAAATATATATATAGGGCTCGAAAAGGGGGGAAAAGTTTAAGTTATAAAAATGAATGTCCTCCCCCATATACATTTCCTGTTTTCAATGCTTCCTCATCCTCCCCCAACTTCATTCTTTAAGGACATGGATATCTCGGGGAGAAATTTCATTTGGAATGGGAAACGTCAGAGAATTAGTCTCTCCACCTTACAATGCCCCAAAAAGTTTGGAGGGCTCTCTTTACCTTTAAACTCTACTATGGGGCATTTCAGCTGAGGTCACTGAGTATTTGGCTTGACTCTTCATCTGATGTGCCTTGGTGGAAAATAGAGGAGGCCAAGTCTCACGCAATTAGAATTCAGCACCTTCCTAATCTTTTATGGGATCCATTGTAAAAAATACATTGACTGTTTGGTACCAAAACAAATCAATAATTGTCTGGGCACAACTTTTAATTTTCAAGAGTTATCTCCTATTTGGAATAACACTTTTATTTGGTTTGGCTCTATGCTCTGTACATTCCCTCCTTTGTCTAAGCAAGGTAATCATGTTTTGAAGGATACCTTCAATCTGCAAGAGGTTTGTTTCTTTCAAGATCTGAAAGAGTCATATTCTCTCCCTGGTTTTTGCTTTTTTATTTGTATATATTTTTGTAAATCTCAGACTCTGTACAGCATTGAAAACCTATGGGGTACCATGGGACACCAAACCAGGCTCCCACTCTTTATTGAAATAATGTTCATGTCCAGGGAAAGACAGAATGGTGTCCTCACTATTTGATAATAATAATAATAATAATAATAATAATAATAATATGCCATTTAGCAGATAGGTTAGTGACTCATAATATAAAACATCTACCTGTTATAAAGGTCTGGGAGAAGGGACCTACAAAGTATAGAGTTTGAAGGGATTGGACCACGATATGGGGCAATATTTTTGCCTCTTATAAGGTCCTTTCCCATAAATGTATTCATTTTCAATTTACTAACAGGTTTTATTTTACCCCAGAGCGAAGTTCAAGATGAAGCCTGTGGATAGTGAGTTATGTAATAAATGTACCCAATCTGAGGTGGGCAATTATATGTATATATTTTGGAGCTGTGTACCGTTGAAGTCTCTTTGGGTTTATTTAGTTAATATTTTAAATGTTATTCTTGGCAGGAGCCTACCTGTTTGCCTATCCCTCCTCCTGTTGGGTTGCAGCCCTAGCATTTTGTTATCTTACCAAGAGAGGCGGATTGTTATGGCTGCAATAACAGCTGAAAAAAAAACGATTCTAAGGAGTTGGTTTGAACCGGGTATTGCCCTTTGCAGATTTTGGTTGCTTATGTTCTTGGACATTGCACAGCTGGAAAGATTCACTGCCAGACTGTGTGGGGCCAAGCCCAAAACTCTGGTCAATTGGTCACATGTTCACATGCTATCTCCCACTTGCAAGAGCTAATTTAACAACACTGTTTGGTCGTGCGGATAGGACATAGCATTGCCCTGCTTGGTCTTTATTCTATTTTCCTAAATGGCTCTGTGTTGGTAGCCTTTGAGAATTACATTTGAATAGATCGATTGAATTTGGAAATACTGAAACATTTTTGTCTTTAATCTGTTTTGCCCTTTTTCATTTGCATGGTGTTTTTGAGTTCCCCCCCCCCTATTGAACTGTATGTATTTGTATTGAATCTTGATACTGTAATTATCTAGGACATGCAAGAAAAACGAATAAATCATTGTTCACAAAAAGAAAACCCTAAAATTGCTGAAATAAGTAAATCAAATCAATGATGCGAGAATACTGAGATTAACTGATACAGACATGGAGTATGTTTACATGCACACTAGTAATTTGATATTAAACTGATTATGGCAGTAGTCCAAGTATGGCATTAGTCATATAAACACCTTACTCTGCTTATCTTAATCGCTGTAAGGTCATAATCGAATTAAGCATACAATGATTAAAACAACTGGATTTCTGAGCAATCTTTCGAATTATTGGGACATGGAGACACCTTAATCAGAGTTGCAGTGGTGTATTTGATCTGCCCATGTGCTAGCACCAGCAGCGCGAGCTTCCCTCTTTTGCATGACTGAAGTGAGTTCAGAAAAACTGAAAGTATGCATCTTAGAAATAGCTTTCACATACACATTTTATATGTCTGAACTCAAAAGAATCAAATAGGCTTCCCAAAAATAACATGGTCACTGTGGTAGAACTTTTATTTTGATTGGTGATTTTCTGCATTTATCAAAGTCCCATCAGGTAGCCTGATTTCAGATGTGTCCATGTAAATAAACAGTATTATTAGGGAAATTGTTATTTTTGCAAAGCATGTAAATGTTTTAATTGAACTATTATATTAATCTGAGTATTTGAACCCCTCTCAATCAGAAAGATTTCTGGCTCCCAGGTGTCTTTTATACAGGTAACGAGCTGAGATTAGGAGCACACTCTTAAAGGGAGTGCTCCTAATCTCAGCTTGTTACCTGTATAAATGACACCTGTCCACAGAAGCAATCAATCAGATTCCAAACTCTCCACCATGGCCAAGACCAAAGAGCTCTCCAAGGATGTCAGGGACAAGATTGTAGACCTACACAAGGCTGGAATGGGCTACAAGACCATCGCCAAGCAGCTTGGTGAGAAGGTGACAACAGTTGGTGCGATTATTCGCAAATGGAAGAAACACAAAATAACTGTCAATCTCCCTCGGTCTGGGGCTCCATGCAAGATCTCACCTCGTGGAGTTGCAATGATCATGAGAATGGTGAGGAATCAGCCCAGAACTACACGGGAGGATCTTGTCAATGATCTCAAGGCAGCTGGGACCATAGTCACCAAGAAAACAATTGGTAACACACTACACCGTGAAGGACTGAAATCCTGCAGCGCCCGCAAGGTCCCCCTGCTCAAGAAAGCACATATACAGGGCCGTCTGAAGTTTGCCAATGAACATCTGAATGATTCAGAGGAGAACTGGGTGAAAGTGTTGTGGTCAGATGAGACCAAAATCGAGCTCTTTGGCAGCAACTCGCCGTGTTTGGAGGAGGAGAAATGCTGCCTATGACCCCAAGAACACCATCCCCACCGTCAAACATGGAGGTGGAAATATTATGCTTTGGGGGTGTTTTTCTGCTAAGGGGACAGGACAACTTCACTGCATCAAAGGGACGATGGACGGGGCCATGTACCGTCAAATCTTGAGTGAAAACCTCCTTCCCTCAGCCATGGCATTGAAAATGGGTCGTGGATGTGTATTCCAGCATGACAATGACCCAAAACACACGGCCAAGGCAACAAAGGGCGGCAGGTAGCTTAGTGGGTAAGAGCGTTGTGCCAGTAACCGAAAGGTCGCTGGTTCTAATCCCCGAGCCGACTAGGTGAAAAATCTGTCGATGTGCCCTTAAGCAAGGCACTTAACCCTAATTGCTCCTGTAAGTCGCTCTGGATAAGAGCGTCTGCTAAATGACTAAAAATGTAAAAATGTAAAAAGGAGCGGCTCAAGAAGAGGCACATTAAGGTCCTGGAGTTGCCTAGCCAGTCTCCAGACCTTAATCCCAGAGAAAATCTGTGGAGGGAGCTGAAGGTTCGAGTTGCCAAACGTCAGCCTCAAAACCTTAATGACTTGGAGAAGATCTGCAAAGAGGAGTGGGACAAAATCCCTCCTGAGATGTGTGCAAACCTGGTGGCCAACTACAAGAAACGTCTGACCTCTGTGATTGCCAGCAAGGGTTTTGCCACCAAGTACTGAGTCATGTTTTGCAGAGGGGTCAAATACTTATTTCCCTTATTAAAATGCATATTAATTTATAACAGTTTTGACATGCATTTTTCTGTTTTTTTGTAGTTGTTATTCTGTCTCTCTCTGTTCAAATAAACCTACCATTAAAATGATACACTGATAATTTCTTTGTCAGTGGGCAAACGTACAAAATCAGCAGGGGATCAAATACTTTTTTCCCTCACTGTATGTCAAAGTGTGTCAAATATGTAAGTTGAAAGCATTGTATGTTAAAAGCACTGTTTGTGTGTGGATGTCCCTGACCTTGCCAACAGACAAAGATCTGTGAATGGATCAGTCGTACACCAATCATGTTTTTTTTGGGGAAAACGTTTCTTTGGGAACATCAGGCGACATCCTAAAACGTCTTGAGGGACGCCCCCGGAACAAGCTGGGAACTAGACAAAAACTTCCAGGGGACCATGACAGAACGTCCTATGTTTTAAACGTCATTGGACACAGAAATGTTCTTGCAATGTTCCCATGAACATATTCTGAGAACATGGCAACCATATTCTGAGTGTGTTTGGTTTGACATTGATGGAATATTCTCCTAACCCTCAGAAAACTGCACACTGGAATATTCTTGCAACATTCCAATGAAACGTGTCTAGATCATTAATATTGAATATTCTGAGAACATGGTATCCATGTTCTCGGTAAGTTCGATTTGACATTAATGGTCTATTGGAAACGGTCCTTGCACATCACTGGAATGAAAATTCCTATTAAAAAGGCTAAGTAATAATGATCTAATGAGACTCTTAAGGGAACGTTCTCTATAAAGTTGTGGGAACGTTTGTTGTTAGCTGGGTAAACAGTTTCTGTGCTCGCTTCAAGGAAAACATCAACCCTCCTACGAGGGCCCCTGCTACTCAAGAGGACTGTGTGCTCTCATTCTCTGTGAATGGCATAAGTAAGACTTATATGCGTGTGAATACCCACAAAGCAACCGGCCTTGATGGGATTCCTGGTCGCGTCCTCAGAGCATGTGCAGACCAGCTAGCTAGAATTTTTACGGACATACAGTATTCAACCTCTCCCTGTCCCAGTCTGTAATCCTCACGTGCTTCAATATGTCCACCATTGTTCCTGTACTCAAGCAAACAAAGTTAACATGCCTGAATGACTATCACCCTGTAGCACTCACTTCTATCATCATGAAGTGCTTTGAGAGGCTGGTCAAAGACCACATCAGCTCCACTGTACCTGACACACTGCACCAACTATAATTAGCATACTGTCCCAACAGATCCACGGACGACGCAATTGCCATTGCACTGCACACTGCCCTATTCAATCTGGACAAAAGGAATACCTGTGAGAATGCTGTTCATTGACTACAGCTCAGCTTTCAACACCATAGTCCACTCCAAGCTCGTGATTAAGCTCAGGGCCCTGTGTTTGAACACCTCTCTCTGCAATTGGTTTCTTGAGTTCCTGACGGGCAGACCCCAGGTGGTGAGGGTAGGCAACAACCCCTCAACACGGGGGCCCCCCAGGGGTGACTCAACACGGGGGCCCCCCAGGGGTGTGTACTCAGCCGCCACCTGTACTCTCTGTTTACCCACGACTGCATGGCCACGCACGACTCCAACACCATCATTAAGTTTGCTGACGACACGATGGTGGTAGGCCTGATCAACGACAGCGACGAGACAGCCTACAGGGAGAAAGTTGGAGCCCTGGCAGACTGGTGCCAGGATAACAACCTCTCCCTCAATATCAGCAAAACCAAGGAGCTGATCGTGGACAACAGGAAACAGCGGGGGGAGCAGGCCCCCATCTACATTGACAGGGATGCAGTGGAGAGCTTCAAGTTCCTCGGCATGCACATCGTCGAAGACCTGACATGGACCCAACACACCAACACCGTGGTGAGGAAGGCGCAACAGCGCCTCTTCAACCTCAGGATGGCCTCTCAGATCCTCAATAACTTTTACAGGTGCACCATTGAGAGCATCTTATCTGGCTGCATCACCACCTGGTATGGACATTGCACCACTTTCAACCGCAATACTTTACAGAGGGTGGCGCGGACGGCCCAATACATCATTGGGGGCGAGCTCCCTGCCCTCCAGGACATTTGCACTAGTTGGTGTCTGAGGAAGGACCGGAAGATTGCCAAGGACTCCAGTCACCCGAGCCACAGACTGTTCAGTCTGTTACTGTCTGGTAAACTGTATTGGAGCATCGGGTCTCGGACCAACAGGCTCCGAGGCAGTTTCTACCATCAGGCCATCAGACTGTTGAAGCAGCTGTCTACCCGCCTGCACCTTAGAGACTATTTGCATTGACTCTCCACACACACGCACGCACACACACACACACACACACACACACACAAATTCACTGTACTTGTGACATTAAAAACTTGAAACACACACACATTCAACACTGCTGTTACTGTTTATGATTACTATTTATTTAAGCTGCTATACCAAGTCACTTTACATTACACACTTTACTATAGAAAACAGTCTTCAGTTTGATAAATCTATCATACTGTATATTCTATGATGTACATACTTCTCATACTAGTTTATTACTTTTTTTCTACTTTGTATTACTACTACTTATTTTTGTACTTTTGTATTTGGCATTTGATTTTTGATTGATATTGTTATTGTACTGGTTTGTTGAGGAGAGCAAGCAAGCATTTCACTGTACCGTGTTTGCAGTAGCGGTGCTTTGGTAAAATCACTGGGGAAGCCAAGCCAGAAGAAAAAGCCATATTACAACCTATGTGTTGTGGTAATTGTGTTGTTTGTTCTATAACTTGTTAGTTCATATGCCTTGCGACCGTGATATATTGTATGCCCATGGCCGAGACTATAAGAAGACAAAGGGGCAGAATAAATTCAACCACACCTTTGTTTATTCACAAAACCGGAGAGCAACCTCTGTCCGGTGAAGTCCACAAAGCATATTGCATGTAAAAAACATTTACATGACCTATACCATGGTCAAGAAAGTTAATGTTTCCGACATTTTTGGATTACTACACATCTATTGATTTAGAACCATGGAGAGTTACCGCAAGTCACAAAGAAAACAGGAGCTGCCTCCACTATTCCAGCTTAATTTCAACTTCAACATTACAACATCATCAAAACACCAATGCTTAGTCTAATACAGTGACAACTAAAAAAGATACCAAAAACGATTTAGTCCAATCAATGTAAGCTAAATATGATGTGGCTATCCATGGTTCTGATTTGTGTGTGTGTGTGTGTGTGTGCGCGCGTTCGTGCAAGTAGAAAAAACATGTTGACTCACCCTACTTGTAGAGAAACGCCAATGCCATCCTCTTCTCGTTCATGTTGACGAAACAGTCTATGACTCTGTCATACAGTACACTCTTTAATGTTTTGTTGTCCTAGACCACCTGGCTAAAATGCTTGCTCGCTAGCCTAACTTCCTTTCATGGGCAACATTAGCTAGTTAACATTAGCCTTCTACATCTAGCTACATATTGAGCTTTCATCCTCTCAGTCCAGGGGCACAATGTATTTTATGGTTGGATCAGAATCGCTGTTATAATCATTGGCCAGTACGGAGAATTAAGTAAAAACACAATTTCAAATCCCTATCTCCAATTTTAGCTAGCTAGCTAGCCAGCCACCGGAAGACCACAACACAACAATTCAAGTTGTTTCTGTCGATGACATATTTCTCTGTGATAGGAGTGAAGCCAAATCCAAACTGCCATCCCTTGACACTTTTTTTGTTGCGGCAGGACCATTCACAGTTGAGCTCACTCAGTTTAGCTCAATGCTAATTGGCTATTATTATATACTTTTTTTTTTTATCAAGGGAGGCCAAATGCTGGCTGGCTTCCCTTGCATTCAATGCTGCGGGCGGCAACAATGTCATACTCTTTATGACCAGACCGCATCAGATAGATGGCCTACACATACAGAGACAGAGGGGCGCTGTTTCGCTCGCTCGGATGCTTTCTCCGGTGAGATACATTCAGCCTCTTGCGAATTGAAGGAAAATTATGACAACACAGAGACAAAAGATAAATAATTGTTTATTTTTTTCTTGGTAAATTTTTTGGGGAAACCTGGCTTCCCTTGGCATCCTTGAATACACGCCACTGACCGTGTGCATGTGACCAACACACTTTGATTTGATTTTACCATAAAGTAGGGTAAAAAGCCCTCCACAGAATACCCCTTCATCTCATAATCATGTTTGTGAATGACTTAAAACCTCAGCATTAATTAAGTCTGTGTTTGGTTGAGTACCTGACTTTAATATTAATGGAAGGAATGGTTTTATTTCACTACTAGAGCATTAATGGACACAGGCCTCTACTTGTGTCCCACTTTATTGTGCTGACCATCATGTTCATTCTTCGTAATGGGAGAATGAACACACGTTTGTGGCCAAGGCTCACTCTGCCAAGCATACACTCTCTCCAAACCACTCGAAGGAAACCAACCCACTGATCCCCCTATAATGGAAAAAGGCACTTTTCAACAAGAGCCTCTGTTGTATGGAGTCACTGAGTTAAGGCGTGAAAAATAACATCATTATGTAGTCTATATGGCTCTGGTTTGGGAACAGCTGAGAGTTGTGCTTATGTTTAATGTCAGAGTGATGTCTGGTGTTTTTAATGTTGTTAAGTGAATGAAAAATGTAAGTGTTGGTTGGTGTTTTTATTGCTGTGAAATAAGAGACCATTCCAAGAGCAAGCAGCTTTGTATGATCAGCGTCCATCTGTTTCTGTCCTCTCCTTCAATCTGGGTTGCTATGGATGCAAGATGAACATCATTTTAGAAAAAGGTACAAGGTAAAGGTAAAAAAATAAGTACGGTCCAGATCATATGAAAAGAAAATTGTAGGGAGCAGCAATGTAACACACAATGTTCTTTAGCCCATACAATTGGCCTTGAGAAATTGTTTTCAGGCCTACTGTGAGTGATGGTTATGCTTTCAGACATAACAATGGATCCCTCTCTTTCTTGTCCTCCCCGGAAAATAAGAGGGTGCAGAAATGAGAGTGACGGAAAGTTGCTCTTTCTTTACTGTGTTGGGTTGGTTTTTTGTCATTTCTGAAGGTGAGAGGACATTCAAGTGTGACCAGTGTGATGCCACCTTCAAGAGGAAAGACACGCTCAACGTGCACATCCAGGTGGTGCACGATGGACACAAGAAGTACAAATGTGACCTGTGTGAGAAGGCCTTCGTCACCCCCTCTGTTCTCAAGAGCCACAAGAAGGTGAGTTCAGCCAGTCTTATGTACTGTAGAGCCCAGTCCAGACATCGTCAGTCTCTCCTAGAGCAAATCCTCTTTCAAAATAATGATCCTGTATGTGTGTTTTTTCCTACATTTCGTATGTAAGAATGTCCTTCAAATGTTAAAGGAAAGGTTCACCCATATTTTATGTTATATTGTTGTTGTGTATCTCTGAGTGATGTTCTATCGATTCCCTGGGTCATTTCATGTTTTCATGTGTATCTGAGTTATTGGGGTTTAAGCAGGCAGAAATCTGTCCGGTATGACGTAGCACCATGATAAAGTTGCTCTCACTACACTGGAAGTTAATAGGAATACTACTTTTAGATCGCGAAACGTCTATCATACATGTCAGATTTCAATATTGGCCGATGTCATAACTCTGGAAGATGTCTTCTCTCCAATGAGCCATTGATCATATTTTTGCGATATTCCTACTTCGAGAAATGTGTAATTTAACGGAGGGTCTAGCACATTTTCCTATTTGTTTGCCTTTTAGTCCAGGGTGCATTGCATGGTGCCGTTGCCAGGGATATTTTTGAAAGGAGATAGGAATCCAATGAATGAAGGAACGTATAACGCCCCACACAGCAGACTGTCGACCAATCTCGTTCACATTGTCATACTGCATCACGCTGTTGCTAAGCTAATCGTCACGCAATCCATTCTCAAAGTCAGTGTATATGTCGAGAAACCTGCCTATTGTCCTCAAAAGTTTGTAATGTCACGATTCCAAAGTTATACGATACTACAGATAGCAAGTTAATTATCTCGGAAAGGATTTGTAATGATATACTTCTTGTTGACGAAATTCGTGCTAATGTTGAGTTTTTGAGCTAGCGCCCAATAGACTCCCATTCACTCCTTGAAGGAGAGCGCTCCTTGTCCCAGAATCGCCCAGAATGCACTGCACGGCCCATTGACGTACCACGGGCAACATTTCCCATCTCCTCAAAACTATATCTCTGTTGCGAATGTAGACTCCTAAACTGATAGTGCAGTTTGTTTAGGCAATTTTACAACTAACTAGCTACGTTACATGCAGATATTGTCTTCGGTATTATTGTGTGTAGCTACGTTTGCTTGCTTGCTTGCTAGCTAGCTAGCCAGCCAGCCAGCTAGCTAGCCAGCACATAGAGAGAGCATTGCATTGTGGATTTTGTAGTTGACTTGAGCAGCAACAGATTTCCACAATGATTTTCCATGTTGCTAACAACCTTTATTATAACGCCAAAATGAAACATTTGTTCAGAAAAAAATATTAACACTGTAAATTAAAGGAATGAGTGGTTTTGGGTGGATTTTTCCTTTAATGAAAAGTAGAGGAAATTGACATTTGTGTTTTCTTGTGATCTCTCTTGTATGCTGGACTGGAACTAGGCTACAGTATATAGTCATCCTCCACCATTGTTCCCCGTGCAGCCCAGGAATCATCCGGTCTCTGTTTGTAATTTACACATGACATTTAGTACATTAACTCCACAGGGTTTCAAAGCACAGGACAGATCAATCTGACATTGTCCGCTTGGCTTATGGATCAGATTGAGACCAAACAGTTTCTTGGCACATGGCAAAAGAAACAAATCAAACATAACATGGCCTTAGTACAGTAGGACTGAAGACAGACAGGCACATGAGTTGTCTCTCTCTCCGGTTGGTCGGTGTTCAGAGACTGGAGACTGCTGAGAGAGTGCTCTGTCTTGGCAGTGATTTAAAGACAGGTAGCTGAGCTCAGTAACCTGGCTGGGACTGAACAGCAGGGCTGTGTTCCAAATGGCACCCTATAAGTTAAATTATAAAATACATGTCCTTTTGTAGTGCACGACTTTTAACCAGAGCCCAGGGCCCTGGTCAAAAGTAGTGAACTATATATGGAATATGGTGCCATTTGGGACGCAGCCCAGAACTCTGACTGGGGATCTGGGAAGGACATGGAGTACATGGTGCTCTGTGTGCTGTAGTATACTATACAGAGTACAGTCTTTATCCATTTCCTATTCCGCTCATGGCAAGAGACTATGGATCGTCTCATTCCTGTCATCTGCGTTTGTTTTCCTCCAGGTGCTTTTGTCAGTGTGCTGTCTGGTTGTCCTCTCCACTTTCAGGTTGATCTGAAAATGAACAGTAATGATGTGTTTCTCTGGCAGCCCTAGTTTAGTCTTCCTCTCAGAACACCCTTAAATTGCCGTAATCATTCTTCTTAAAGGCAGAGATGTGTGTACATGGAGCATTTGTTTGCTCTGTATCTGCCGTGCAGTGTGTGTACAGTACAGAACCTGTACATTGTTTATTTTGCATTGCATTTGTTTGTGTTTATGTTTGTTGTGTGAAAAAATGACAGAGGTGTTAGCCAAGTAATGAATGTCACATCCATACTATCCACATTAAAAGGATGGTGTAATGATTATGTATAACCCCAATATTTTCCAAAGGTCTGTTTTGGAACATAATGTTCCCCAGTGAAAACTATGAAGCCTTTTATGAAGTAAGAAATAGAAACAACAAACCAAACAACCGTACATTGGGGCATCTGGGAGACATCTGTCCGTGTGTGTGTGTGTGTGTGTGTGTGTGTGTGTGTGTGAGAGAGAGAGAGAGAGAGAGGGAGAGTGAAGGAAAGGGTTTATGTAACCTAATGCCGATAGCGTGGGATGGAGGGGGATGGAGAGAAGAGGATGGGAGAAAGGAAAGATGGTATTCCTGTCTGTATTGTTGTTCTGCTGTTTAAACTGTCACACAGATTTTGAGCTTCTAATACTTGTGTTTATTCTGGGGAATTTACATCAGCCCAGCAGCAGAATTCACAAAATACTTACCTTTTCAGCAGAAAGAAAGAAAGAAAGAAAGAAAGAGAGAAAGAAAGAAAGAGATAGAGAGAGAGAGGAAGTGAAGGAGAATGAAGGAGGAGAGCGGGGAGGGTGAGAGACATTTAGCCTGGCTGGGGGGTGCAGCATTCTGCTCTTTTTGCACACATTTCTTGCAGTGTGTACATACAGTGCCCGCCAGTCTGGACCTCAGAGAAAAGACTGACCTGATTGTGTTTGAGGAGTGAGGACAGGAGATGGGAGAGGGCAGGTCGAGGAGGGAAAGAGGAATGCAGGCAGAGCAGATCTCTCTGGTCTCCGCCCTGCTCCTCACCCTCAACCTCCTGGCTCTTTGACTCTAATGATAGGCCTGCTGAATCGTTTGGATTCTTTAATCCATCTTTCCGGAGAAGGACTGAAACCACCCTAAAGTCAGCCTGTACAGTTCCAATTGGAGAGCTGTGGAGTTCAGAGCCTGTAGAGTTCCAATTGGAGATATGTAGAGTTCAGAGCCTGTAGAGTTCCATTTGGAGAGCTGGAGAGTTCAGAGCCTGTAGAGTTCCATTTGGAAAGCTGTAGAGGTCAGTGCCTGTAGAGTTCCCACTGGAGAGCTGGAGAGTTCAGAGCCTGTAGAGTTCCCACTGGAGAGCTGTGGAGTTCAGAGCCTGTAGAGTTTCCATTGGAGAGCTGTAGAATTCAGTGCCTGTAGAGTTCCAATTGGAGAGCGCTAGAGTTCAGAGCCTGTAGAGTTCAAATTGGAGAGCTGTAGAGTTCAGAGCCTCTAGAGTTCCAATTGGAGAGCTGTAGAGGTCAGAGCCTGTAGAGTTCCATTTGGAGAGCTGTAGAGGTCAGAGCCTGTAGAGTTCCATTTGGAGAGCTGTAGAATTCAGTGCCTGTAGAGTTCCAATTGGAGAGCGCTAGAGTTCAGAGCCTGTAGAGTTCCAATTGGAGAGCTGTAGAGTTCAGAGCCTCTAGAGTTCCAATTGGAGAGCTGTAGAGTTCATATGAACACCAGTGTCTAGTAGCAGTGTCTAGCTCTAGTGGCAGCATTCACATTAATGTCTAGCACCAAGGAGGTCTGGTCTCTCAGTGGGGTAGATACTCCCAGTGTTGAACAGGATCTCTGGTTAAATGACTGACATCAAATATTTGTCAGAAGACCACCCTTGAATACACCCTGAAAGGACTTTGAGGCTTTGTAGCTTTTTAGTGCCAATATATATTAAACAACTTTGACAACTTATCCAATACTTTATTAAAAATACTTTGTAAATGTTATATAACCATAGGGCATTTAACCGTAATGGAACCTTTCAAAGTTTCTCTGTTTAGTATCCAAGAGTTTTAGCAGAGCTCATAGTATCCAAGTGGTGAATATGCTCTACCTGTGATTATCATGGGCTTTGTAATGAGGGAAAGATGTACCACTGAATGTTACAATTGTCTTTCCTAAATACCAACAATATGTTTTCTGACCTTTTCCATAACAGACGCACACAGGGGAAAAGGAGAAGATCTGCCCATACTGTGGACAAAAGTTCGCCAGCAACGGCACTTTGAGGGTCCACATCCGCAGCCATACAGGTCAGTGGCCCTGCCATAACAAGACAAGTTCAACTGTCATTGAACATTACATAAAACGGTGTAAGATAAACACCAATCCAGTCTCCCAGATCCATACAAGGCTAGTCTGCTCCCCCAGAGCCCAGAGTGGTAACAATGTCCCAGAGTGGATGTTCATTAAACTGCCTTTAACTGGAGAGCCACACATTCCTGTCTGTTTCCTTACCAACAGACTAGTGCACAGACCTGGCACAGTCACACACACTCCCTCCATCTACCCCCTACTCCCTTCCTCCCTCCTTTTCTTTCTGTGTTTCTCTACTTCTACTTGTCTGTTTGGATCTTGTCTTTCTCCCACTTAGAATCTATCTCTCTCCCCTGTCTTCCCCTGCCTATCTTTCCTGCTCTCTCCCGATCCTCCTCTTGCCCTCCCTGTATCTGAGATTGAATCCTCACTCCAGTCCACTCTGCTTGTTTTCATGCCACAGATACATCAGCAGAAATAATCTCAAGCTAAGTAGCTCCCAACAAACAATGGTTATTTCCTTTCCCCAATCCCTTAATCTCGGGAATGTGTTTGCAGCTTTAGTACTAACGATTTTCCCCTTCTGCCATTGAGATCCAAAGCACACAATCTGTGCTATCACATCATCACTAGGGCATCTATCACTATCACAACCATCACTACTATCACTGACCACCATCCAATTTAAAGAACGATGTCTCATCTTCCAATCATAGCTACCTAATCAGGGCTCTAGACTATGATTAAGCAATCAGAATACCTTTTGACTGTTTAAATGAGCTTGCTCATTTATCTATAACTAAATATCTATTAGCCTAATACCTAGTCCTACCTATTTTGGTAAGGACTTAGTCTAGCACCATTTTATTGCCAGCTGTTTCTCTATGAACAATTGTAATTTTGAGAGTGAAAAACAAAACAAAATATAAAACCAGGAAAAACATTAAACATAATTTGGGAAAAAAATCACAGATTTGATAGGGCCCCCCTTAGAGTTGTTTTATTAACCATTATTTTACCAGGTATATTGACAGAAACACAGTGCACTTCTTTCTCTTGTACACTAAAGTCCTGGGGAAGAGTTGCAGGAGAGAGGAGAAGAAGAGAAGAATGTGCCTATTTGAAAGATAGACAATTAATTGTAGCTCGCAATATTTTAGAAAAGGTTGGAGACCCCTGGTATAGCACATCTTAGACAGTTCTAAGATATCTGATAGCAAACATTTAGTAGTGAATTGCATACAAGTGTAACTTCATCACCTCATGTGCACAACAGAGAGAGACTCACTGATAGATAGAGAACGCTGTGGGCTCACCAACTCCGGCTTTCTCTCGTTGTGCTCTTTACAACGAACATGTGACTGGCTGCTGTTCTGGGGAACTACGGTAAGCGTCATAATGAAAAATAATGTGACAAGTGAAATTAAGAATGCAATCTGCTTTATCTCCTAATGTATTGCACAAGTTGACTGCAGGTTTTTACTTAAAAAGTAGCTACAAATATTCAAATGTATTCAAAAACATCAAATAAATATTTTCAATGGTATTGACGGTATATGAAAACAATCCTGTGGGTATTTCCAAATACCCCGGTATACCATATATACAGTATAGCACCCAACCCTAGACTGTACTATTAGATCCAAGGGACACAAAGAACAACATCTACATGACATCATGTCCCTACTGGCTGCCCAAAACACAGAGACAAACAGCACTAAATAAGTGGTCCTTCAGTGTTCCCAGAGGTCTGCCAGATGTACATTTGGACTGCATTTGAATCACGTTGTGCCCAGAGAGACTACTGCATACTTAACAACTGTGAAGACACTGGTCTCCAGCAGAGTAAATGTCCCTTACAATTACCGATCGTCTTCAGTCCATTAGACACACCACTACTCAGTCTGTTCTGGCCGTTTAGAGGGAAACTAAAGACATCTGCTTCACTGTCTTTATAATGACATACAGTACGATATCTTTACACACATCATGCAGAGTGATGGGTCAAAGGTGGAATGACTCAACCGTTTTACTCTTCTCATATCTTACACAGAGGACATAGGGTTTTTAAACCAAACTGCCAATTCATCTCGATTTCAATGATGCCTGTTTGACCAATAACTGCAAAGTTCACTGTTTTACTGTACGTAATGTGAGCCAGTCATACATTAGGAACCCTAAATGTTATAATTCCAGAAACTGAATCCAAACTATAAAATCTCACACAAAGAACTTCTCTGTTTAGAGGCACTAAATAGTTGAACTGGGTGATTCTATAATAGTGACAATTTGTGAGCGCCAAACTATGACATTTGCTATGATGTCAGTAACACTCAGTGGGCACTGGGTTCTGTAAACATTTCCTTTGGCGTAAGCACCTTGGTCAACCCCAGGACTGTCATATACCACATAACATCACTGCACACTGTAGAAAACTGTCACACTCACCTATGATCTATTTATGGTCATTCGTATTTACACCAGTCTTATGCCAACATGAATAATAATAATAATAATATGCCATTTAGCAGACGCTTTTATCCAAAGCGACTAACAGTCATGCGTGCATACATTTTTGTGTATGGGTGGTCGCGGGGATCGAACCCACTACCTTGGCGTTACAAGCGCCGTGCTCTACCAGCTGAGCTACAGAGGACCACATCATCAAATAAACTGAGTCATACTCTCTGGAATCATCTGTAAATGAGAATATGAGGGAGTCCCCCTCTTTGCTTTAGTTTAGAATGGAATAAGTTCTAATTGGAGTTCCAGACATGGAGTTTGATTGTGAGTGGCAGGGAAGGGTCCCTACTCTCTAAGGTGAATGATGTCGCCACTCGCCAGGATACCTTGACATCATCAGCAGTACACAAGGAGAAGTCCCACCCTGTCTGTCTGGCTGGTAGAAGGTGTGGGAATCAATGAACAGCTAAATCCCATGTTACCATGTGTTAGTCAAACAACATCCCAAATTAATGTGATGGCCAAACACATAGACAATTTCCTCATGACCAGTGAAACAGTGATGACCAGAGTGTCGAGTGACTGCTCCCAGATAATCGCTGTGAGAAAACCTTACAAAGCATCCTGTGTAATTAGTGTTTACCAGGTAAAGCACCTCTGTAGCTCAATTGGTAGAGAATGGCGCTTGTAATGCCAGGGTAGTGGGTTCGATCCCCGGGACCACCCATACGTAAAAATGTATGCACACAAGACTGTAAGTCGCTTTGGATAAAAGCGTCTGCTAAATGGCATATTATTATTATTATTATTATTATTATTATTATTATTAAATAAGGGAAGCTGTGCTGTTCCTGTGTGAGGACACTGGAAAAACAAACAATACCAGGCGTTTAACTTTGTACCATCCAGAGAGACTGTCGACACACAGGTCTTTTAACCTCAGCTGGGGGCTTCCTTTAAAGAGATTATTGACAGGAAGAGGAGCCACGTTAAAGGTTTATTTACAGAACTAGCAGCCACATGGACAAAACTACACCTAGTGTAGTACTGACACAACACTAGTCTTTCATAAATGTCTTTAAAAAAAACAAGGGAAATGTGTCTTACAGAACCTTGCTTTTTAACTGTACTTAACAAAGCCAACCAGACATTGAGCAATTTACTAGTCACTCCATCTTCCTCCCTGCAGGGAAGTCAAAGACCACTAGAAGAGAGAGAGACTCTAGCAGTGGAGGCTCCTCAGGGGAGAAAGGGGAGGACCATCCTCCTCAGTGAATTTCACAAAAATGTAAATAGTGAAACATTTATTTTTAAATATCCTTTTTAAAAACTATACTTAATATATTCACGTCATCAAATAATTAATTAAAACACACTGTTTTGCAATGAAGGTCTACAGTAGCCTCAACAGCACTCTGTAGGGTAGCACCATGGTGTAGCCGGAGGACAGCTAGTTTCCATCCTCCTCTGGAGGCTCGTGGTTCTCACCCCTTTCCATAGACTTACACAGTAATTATGACAACTTCCGGAGGAAGTCCTCCAACCTATCAGAGCTCTTGCAGCATGAACTGACACAATCAAATTATCAAAGAATGAAATGTGGTGAGTAGTTGACTCAAAAGAGAGAGAAAGACAATAGTTGAACAGTTTTGAATGAATTAATTTCTTTAAAATGAAGGAGAAGCGAGAGAGAGAGAGCTAGCTATATTTCATTTTTTTAGCTAGCTTGTTTAGCCTACTCAAACACTCAGCTCAAACAGAGAGTGATGCTATGTTAGCTAGCTGGCTAGCCAACACTGGAACTCTTCCAAGTCAAGGTAAGCTTTTGGTTTTATAAATGTATTGCCAACTGGGCCCGCCGGTGTAACTGCTAAACTCCTTGCTGACTGTACACTGTACTGCATGATTGTAGCGGGTTTATTAACGTATTAGTTCTAGTAGCTATGTTGGCTATGACATAATATGGTGACAACGATGTAGCGGTTAGCGGTTATGATATGAAGGTTTGGCTTGGAAAGGTTTTTTCGCCTGGTCACAGACAACTGATGTATTGTGCACTGAAGTCCACAAGTGAAGGGAAAAGGTGCGATGAGGAGAGCGTGTAGATACGATAATAAATTATACAATGATCAAAGGGATCATGCTGTATTGTATGTATGTGGCTGCTATGAAAGTGAACTGTGTTTGCTTGAGATCAGGGGTGTATTCATTCTGCCAATTCTGTTGAAAAACGAATTCTTAAACGGAACGAAACGGGGATAAACATACCTGAATTTGTCCAATAGAAACTCTTGTTTTCAACTGTTGGACTAATAATTACACCCTAGATCAGCTAGATGCAGGCAAGAGTGTGCATTGCGGTATTGAATGTGTCAATGTCTGTCACCTTGATTACTCAAATTTATCTCGACCTGTACACCTACGTTGTAAACTTTCATTCATAGGCTAGGTTGTAGCAACCTCATGATGGGTATAGGGAAAATTTGAGTGTCATGTAGTAGCCTAAACCTAACAATGTTACATTGAGCTGGGTGAATGGAATATGAATGACAGTCATCCAATATGCTGTAATAGAAATAAGGCCATGCATATAAAAAAAAAAGTGTCCTCCCTCATCTTAAACGGCACGACCGCCACTGGACTCTACCCCAATTAAAATACCCCCACCACTGATTCAGTTCATACAGCATCCTTTGTAAGGCCATACTAAGCGTTCAATGTATATTCAATGTATTATGCAACACTAACTAACACTTCAAATTACTCTGGAAAGAACCGTATGCCCAACCAATTACTCATCAATGTGAGAGAACAAAATGAGCATTGTTGAGGTTTTTTATGGGAAACTCACACTTTTCCTCAACCTTATTTTTCTTTACTCAAGAAACAACAAAAGCTTGGGCAAGTGAGTTCTGGGCTATAGAATGAGAGGACAGATTTACAGCCAGTCAGGGTCAAGGGTCATCCTGCTGGATGCTTTCTTTGGAGTGGTCTTTTCTCTCTTTTCTCTCCTTCCTCCTTTCTTTCTTTGAGGTGTCCCCTCCGCTCCCACCCATCCCCCTGCATTCCCCCACTGCCCGCTCTTTTGTTTATATATAAATACAAATCAGACTCAGCCATGTCCCACACTGCCACACACACACGCACATACATACACACACACACATGTGCAAGCATGCACAGACACAAATGCAGGCACGCCCCCCCCCCACACAAACACACTCTTTATTTTGTTCTTTTGAAACCTAGAGGGTGAGTAGAAATTGGATGTTCTGAGTCCATGTAAATGCTTAAATCACATCAGAAGACAATTTTTTTAGGTCTGAAAGAAAACAGAGAAATATCGTTTTGAGTGTAATTCCCCTTTAATTGCACATCCAGACTTTTAATTGCGCATCTAGCAAGTGAGGAATGTACCGTCTAATATGCCGGTCTAGCGATGGTTCTGTACTGCTGCTAATTTCAAATAATAGATACCTAAATAGTAGAAGCCTAATTTTTGTTGTCCATTAGTTTACTCCAATTAGGGGAGGGGTGGCAGGGTTAGGGGAAAATAATAAAGGAAAATATATTTAAAAAAAATATATATATATATGGGGGTTTGGAAATGATGCAGGCAATTACATTGATGGAAGCCACAATCTATCTGCAAAATTACATCTGGATACCGCTCATGTCTAGTACAGTCTGTCCCAAAGACTCTCCTCCTCTCCTGCTCTTCTCCTCTCTCACCATGAGACGTACTGAGGGTAGTTTCCACTGAACAAGGTGTGTGGTGAGGGTTGTTTCAAAGTGTGGATCATTATTGTGTGTGTGGGTGTGTGATAGAGGGCAGGACGTGAAGTTCTCTGATACAGGTTCTCTCACATGGGCCAGTTTAAGAGAAACGTTTGAGGAAGTAAAGACATCTTTGGAGGCCCAGGTCATAATAGAAAGGTCAAGTGTAAAGTTGTTGGGCATTTCTGGGGCTGATCAAAGGCAAATCGCTTATCGGCTAAAATTGATCGATATCACATTACCTCAGTGGCCCCTGTCGGCATGCAGAGAGAGGCAGAGCGAGAGAGAGGGGCCGAGGAGGGCCAGTGTGGCTCGACTGGAGGAAGTCAGGAATTAATTTCTGATGGACAGCGCTAATGCCTTTCAGACCAGGGCCTGGAGCTACAAAGTGTTCTCCGTAACACGAATGCTGTGCGGCAGGCATGCGACGAGCAAGACCATCTGTTTACCAGACACACACACACACACACACACACACACACACACACAGGCACACACACAGGCACACTGTCATAGGTGCAAAACTGATCGATTAGCAGACAAGGGGTGTGAGGAGCACAGTGGGGGGTGGGTGGCAGGGAGACTCAGGGTCACAGGGAGATGGTGTCCCATTTCAGCGCATGCTAAATCAGTTACCATCCCCACCACACAAAGCCCAGCGTCCCCACATAATCCCCAAACAATCTCACTCAATCTAGATAATAAGTGGATGGTTTCCAATTTCACTAGTGTTCAACTGAAAGGACATAGCGCCTCTCATATGAACCATACCAGCTCAAGGAAATTATTCCTGAAATGATTGCTATTGGTTCTGGTCCATGTTTGTATCCTGTAAAGGATTGAGATGATATTTTCGGAGTATTCTGGATGTCAGGCATGTGTTAGAGAGAGCTGGTCTGGTTTGAAGTGAGCGGTGCCAAAGAGTTGGGGTTGTGTGTCAGTCAACTGTGGAAGAAGCATAATGTTACTGAACATTTACGTAAGTTTGATCATAGCGAGCACATTGTACCCTGCTGTTACAATGTTGAGGACTACTGCCGAGCTCTCGAAATCAAATCAAATCAAAAGTTATTTGCCACATGCATCGAATATAACAGGTGTAGACATTACAGTGAAATGCTTACTTACAAGTCCTTAACCAACAATGGATTTTTTAAAGTATTAAAAAAATAAAGTGTTAAGTAAAAAAAATTTAAGCAAATAACTAAAGAGCAGCAGTAAAATAAAATAACAGTAGGGAGGCTATATACAGGGGGGTACCGGTGCAGAGTCAATGTGCGGGGGCACCGGCTAGTCGAGGTAATTGGGGTAATATGTACATGTGGGTAGAGTTAAAGTGACTATGCATAAATAATAAACAGAGTAGCAGCAGCAAAAAAGAGGGGGGTGGGGGGGCAGTGCAAATAGTCCGGGTAGCAATGATTAGCTGTTCAGGAGTCTTATGGCTTGGGGGTAGAAGCTGTTGAGAAGCCTTTTGGACCTAGACTTGGCGCTCCGGTACCGCTTGCCGTGCGGTAGCAGAGAGAAAAGTCTATGACTAGGGTGGCTGGAGTCTTTGACAATTTTGAGGGCCTTCCTCTGACACCGCCTAGTATAGAGGTCCTGGATGGCAGGAAGCTTGGCCCCAGTGATGTACTGGGCAGTACGCACTACCCTCTGTAGTGCCTTACGTTCGGAGGCCGAGCAGTTGCCATACCAGGCGGTGATGCAACCAGTCAGGATGCTCTCGATGGTGCAGCTGTATAACTTTTTGAGGATCTGAGGACCCATGCCAAATCTTTTCAGTCTCCTGTGGGGGAATAGGCTTTGTCGTGCCCTCTTCACAACTGTCTTGGTGTGTTTGGACCATGATAGTTCATTGGTGATGTGCACACCAAGGAACTTGAAGCTCTCAACCTGTTCCACTACAGCCCCGTCGATGAGAATGGGGGCGTGCTCAGTCCGCTTTTTTTTTCTCCTGTAGTCCACAATCATCTCCTTTGTCTTGATCACGTTGAGGGAGAGGTTGTTATCCTGGCACCACACGGCCAGGTCTCGGACCTCCTCCCTATAGGCTGTCTCATCGTTGTCGGTGATCAGGCCTACCACTGTTGTGTCGTCAGCAAACTTAATGATGGTGTTGGAGTCATGCCTGGCCATGCAGTCATGGGTGAACAGGGAGTACAGGAGGGGACTGAGCATGTACCCCTGAGGGGCCCCCGTGTTGAGGATCAGCATGGCAGATGTTTTGTTACCTACCCTAACCACCTGGGGGCTGCCCGTCAGGAAGTCCAGGATCCAGTTGCAGAGGGAGGTGTTTAGTCCCAGGATCCTTAGCTTAGTGATGAGCTTTGAGGGCACTATGGTGTTGAACGCTGAACTGTAGTCAATGAACAGCATTCTCACGTAGGGGTTCCTCTTGTCCAGGTGGGAAAGGGCAGTGTGGAGTGCAATAGAGATTGCATCATCTGTGGATCTGTTGGGGCGGTATGCAAATTGGAGTGGGTCTAGGGTTTCTGGGATAATGGTGTTGATGTGAGCCATTACCAGCCTTTCAAAGCACTTCATGGCTACAGACGTGAGTGCTACGGGTCGGTAGTCATTTAGGCAGGTTATCGTAGTGTCTTTGGGCACAGGGACTATGGTGGTCTGCTTGAAACATGTTGGTATTACAGACTCAGTCAGGGACATGTTGAAAATGTCAGTGAAGACACTTGCCAGTTGGTCAGCACATGCTCGGAGGACACGTCCTGGTAATCCGTCTGGCCCTGCGGTCTTGTGAATGTTGACCTGCTTAAAAGTCTTACTCACATCGGCTACGGAGAGCGTGATCACATAGTCATCCGGAACAGCTGGTGCTCTCATGCATGCTTCAGTGTTGCTTGCCTCGAAGTGAGCATAGAAGTGATTTACCTCGTCTGGTAGGCTTGTGTCACTGGGCAGCTCGCGGCTGTGCTTCCTTTTGTAGTCTGTAATAGTTTTCAAGCCCTGCTACATCCGACGAGTGTCAGAGCCGGTGTAGTACGATTCAATCTTAGTCCGGTATTGACTCTTTGCCTGTTTGATGGTTCGTCGGAGGGCATAGTGGGATTTCTTATAAGCGTCCGGGTTAGAGTCCCGCTCCTTGAAAGCGGCAGCTCTACCCTTTAGCTCAGTGAGGATGTTGCCTGTAATCCATGGCTTCTGGTTGGGGTATGTACGTACGGTCACTGTGTGGACGACGTCATCGACACACTTATTGATGAAGCCAGTGACTGATGTGGTGTACTCCTCAATGCTATCTGAAGAATCCCGGAACATATTCCAGTCTGTGCTAGCAAAACAGTCCTGTAGTTTAGCATCTGCATCATCTGACCACTTTTTTATTAACCGAGTCACTGGTGCTTCCTGCTTTAGTTTTTGCTTATAAGCAGGAATCAGGAGGATAGAGTTATGGTCAGATTTGCCAAATTGAGGCCGAGGGAGAGCTTTGTATGCGTCTCTGTGTGTGGAGTAAAGGTGGTCTAGAGTTTTTTTTCCTCTGGTTGCGCATTTAACATGCTGGTAGAAATGAGGTAGAACGGATTTAAGTGTCCCTGCATTAAAGTCCCCGGCCACTAGGAGCGCTGCCTACTTATGGCCTTATATAGCTCATTGAGTGCAATCTTAATGCCAGCATCGGTTTGTGGTGGTAGATAGACAGCTTCGAAAAATTTAGATGAAAAGTCTCTTGGTAAATAGTGTGGTCTACAGCTTATCATCAAATACTCTACCTCAGACGAGCAAAACCTTGAGACTTCCTTAGTATTAGATTTTGTGCACCAGCTGTTGTGTACAAATATACACAGACCGCCACCCCTTGTCTTACCGGAGTCAGCCGTTCTATCCTGCCAATGTAGCGTATATCCCGTCAGCTGTATGTTGTCCATGTCGTTGTTCAGCCACGACTCGGTCAAACATAAGATATTACAGTTTTTAATGTCCCGTTGGTAGGATAACCGTAATCTTAGGTCGTCCAATTTGTTCCATTTGCAGAGTGTGGGTGTCTGTACAGTATATCAGCTTATACTCGCCAAGTCCTCTGCTCCTACCCAGAGGGAAGCGCTCTAAGCCACAGAGCACACTGCCACACTGTGCCAACCATATTAGAACACACTAATGCCTTCTCCAAGGCCTTAACCTGATACCCTACCATGCTACATAACAGACAGATTCTCTATCCTCTGTCTCTGTGCACATCTGGGATTCAGATTTTCTTGTTTGTCAACAAAGGCCTCCTAGAGACTGAAATTGAGCAGAAGGATTTTTGGGGGTTGGGATTTTGAGCAGCCTTCTCTGCACATGTTTCTGAATGTGTGATCATTCTGTACTGTACATGAGGCCTGTTGTTAACACTTTACAAGCTATATGTTGGATGGATGAGACAGTACTGCTCTGTCCCTCCCTGGTCCTCGTTAGCTCCCTTGTGGGGATGTCTGGTGTGCCCTTTCTACCTTTGTGGTCACTGCTGGTTTATGAGGACAGCAAAGTGATGGCTAGCCTGGCTTTGATTGGCTAACATTTACTGGGTTGGAAGAAATGGTCAGACACTCAAACACTATTGAAAACAAACCAATAAAATCCCAACCTTGAGTTAGAGAGGACTTAAACAGATTGGAAATGTTTTTCCTCCCCTGAAAATGAGTGAATCTATAAAGGATGCATCCTTGCTGACTAGTCATTTACATTACATTTTAGTCATTTAGCAGACGCTCTTATCCAGAGCGACTTACAGGAGCAATTAGGGTTAAGTGCCTTGCTCAAGGGCACATTTACGTCATTTAGCAGACGCTCTTATCCAGAGCGACTACAAATTGGTGCATTCACCCTATAGCCAGTGGGATAACCACTTTACAATTATACTTTTTTTTTTTTTTTTTTGGGGGGGGGGGGGGGGGGGGGGGGGGGTAGAAGGATTACTTTATCCTATCCCAGGTGTTCCTTAAAGAGGTGGGGTTTCAAATGTCTCCGGAAGGTGGTGAGTGACTCCGCTGTCCTGGCGTCGTGAGGGAGCTTGTTCCACCATTGGGGTGCCAGAGCACTCCCAATAAAGTCTGGTAATAGACAATGCCCTACAATAATGTAGTGTTTAACCTAAAACCACATAATCTCTTACAGTACATGATGGATTTGAGTTGAGTTTGTGTCAGTGAGGTAAATGTTTGTTATGGGTGATATTTCTCTGCTGATGTACTCTCTCGCTCTCTCTGGGTGGTTGTGGTTCCTCTGATTGAATAGGCATCTCTGCATGTTAACTCCCCATCTCCCCGGGACACTCAGCTCATTAACCTTATTACATACAGGAGCAAAACATCTCCTCCATCAATTCCTCCTCTATCTCATTAAAACTACTCGCTTTTTCTCTTCGACAATTAGTCACTAAAGAGCGATTACGCTACAACAAAGTGTAGGAGGAATTCGATTGTGGTACCCGCAAGGACACATATGTGCGCACACACACACACACACACACACACACAGTCATCTGTATCTCTCTTAAGGCTGTGTTTTATTAAGTTACCATTTTGCTGTTTCCCATCTCCCGCTGGAGCTGCTCTATTTACACCAGCAGGAGCAGCTCTTATTCTGAGGGGACTCATTTTGTCCAAAATATCCTGATTCCATTACCCCAGAAATGAGCCAAAATAGTCTTATGTCCTTAGTTTCATACATTGGTGTTTCCTTGTGTTACCTGCTCGTGACTGTTGTGGTCTAGTTAACAATAATTTACTGTGATTCTCTGTGAAAGGAATATAATGCTCCTGACTTCAATTGTTCAGAACCAGTAACATACAGTGCCTTCATAAATGTGTTTTGGTCACTGGCCTACACACAATTCCCCACAATGTCAAAGTGGAATTATGTTTGTTTTTTAAATTAATTAAATTATTATTATTACGTTTTTAGACAGTTTTACAAATTCATTTAAAATGAAAGCTGAAATGTCTTGAGTCAATAAGTATTCAACCCCTTTATTATGGCAAGCATAAATAAGTTCAGGAGTAAAAATGTGCTAACAAGTCACATAATAAGTTGCATGTACTCACTCTGTATGCAATAATAGTGATCAACATGGTTTTTGAATGACTACCTCATCTCTGTACCCCACTCATACAATTATCTGTAAGGTCCCTCAGTCTAGCAGTGAATTTCAAACACAGATTCAACCACAAAGACCAGGAACGTTTTCCAATACCACTCTCCATATTTTCAAGCATAGTGGTGGCTACATCGTGTAATGGGTATGCTTGTAATCATTAAGGACTGGGGAGTTTTTCATATAAAGAAAGAAACGGAATGGAGCTAAGCACAGGCAAAATCCTAGAGGAAAACCTGGTTCAGTCTGCTTTCCACCAGACACTGGGAGATGAATTCACGTTTCAGCAGGAAAATAACAAGGCCAAATTGTTGCTTACCAAGAAGACATTGAATGTTCCTGAGTGGCCGAGTTACAGTTATGACTTAAATCTACTTGAAAATCTATGGCAAGACCTGAAAATGGTTGTCTAGCAATGATCAACAACCAATTTGACAGAGCTTGAAGAATTTTGAAAAGAATAATGGGCAAATGTTGCTCAATCCAGGTGTGGAAAGCTCTTAGAGACTTACCCAGAAAGACTCAGAGCTGTAATCGCTGCCAAAGGTGCTTTTACAAAGTATTGACTCAGGGGTGTGAACGCTTATGTAAATTAGATGTGTATGTGTTTCATTTTCAGTAAATGTTCGAACATTTCTAAAAACATGTTTTCATTTTGTCATTCTGATGTATTGTGTGTAGATTTTGAATTCAGGCTGTAACACAACAAAATGTGGAATAAGTAAAGGGGTGTGAATACTTTCTGAAGGCACTGTATCTGTGGTGGAACACCAAAATACTACCTTACAAGTATTGCACTGTATTTTCCTTTGGAAGGGATATTTTCGTTGCGGTTATATGAGTTACCTCATATTCCATATATAGGTTGGTAATCAGTGCTGGTTGTGCTATCTGGGCTGAGGATCAGCTCTGGGGTAAATAGATCCACGTGTCTGCTGGCTGTTTGACTGACAGCTTGTCACATCCTCTTTGCCATCGTACAGAGCGTGCTCAGATAGGATCTCTGGGAGTTAGGCTTGCCTGTCTTTGATCCACTGGGCCCGGGCTCAGCTCAGCCGGGCCAGCCTGACTATGGGTTGTAGTGTGTTCTTACTCTGGAACAATGTTTTTTCATGTGACAAGCGGTACTACTGATTGTGAGGCCTTTTTTCTCACTGGAAAGAACACATGGATTAGTGTGACAAATAATCAATCATTATTTCCTCACATAAAACTATAGGCAGAGTTGTGAGTGTTTAACATTTTATTTGATTCAAATAAGATAAAAGCAGTGTTTCCTAAACTCAGTCCTAGCATTACACAGCTGATTAAAATAATCAGCTAATCATCAAGCTTTGATCATTTGAATCAGCTGTGTAGTGTTAGGGCAAAACCCAAAACATGCACCCTTTGGGGTCCTGAGGACCGAGTTTGGGAAACGCTGGATAAAATGATATGACTAAATCTGATTCTGAGAAGGGTTGTTGGAGTTCTGTTTGCTTTGCTTCATCATTGGCCAATGAGGATCTTCTCAGAACACATCTACATTATAATAACCTCTACCCAAACCTAACAACCAAAGAATCCCATCATAATTGTAGTTCCTGTGAGGACCTACAGCCTGGAGAAGGACTTCCCTGCATAGAAAAACGTCAGAGCACATCAGAGGCAGCATGGCTGGAGGGAGAAAAGGGCCTTCAGAAGAACCAGATTTATGCTCTAGCACAGGTCTGCAGACCAACTTACTGTTGAGAGTTAGAATAGTAGAATACACAAGATGCAATTTCGTTGTGCATCAGCAGACTTTCTCTTATGGTAGTCACTGACATTCACTCACTCATGTCAGCTAACATTTTTTTTAGATTGGTAAATTAGTCTAGCCAGCTAGCCAGCTATCTAAACTTGTTGTAATCATGGTCCAATTACCGACCTGGGGACCTCATTGATTTTATTAGTCACTCTCACTCAGATATCATATTAAAACTGCAAACATTTCTCTCGACCCTATGGCAAAATGTGTATAATTTCAGGAAACTTGCTGTAAAAGTGAAGAAGAAGAAAAAAAATCCGCCCATGGCAAAATGAATAGAATTGCCTGAAATTAGTTATAAAACTGCAACGTATTCTCTATGCCCAGTGCTTCATTTGTAAATTGGGAGGTGTCGGAACAAAAAGTTTGTAGCCTAGGGTCCGGAAGATGTTGGCCTTTTTATAAACGCATTTCATGCATTTATACATAATTTTAGATGACAGATTTTTTTTAAATACCTCACAAATGATCGAAATGACAGCCTACTTTGACACTGAGAATCTGAGATCAATAAAAACAACCTCGTCTTGAATACATCAATAGCCTAGGCCTAGGTGTGTGCAGGAGACACACATATTGTACAATATGAGGAGGAAATTATCGTCCTAAAAAAGCTTTCCAGTTGAACTGAATCACCCAATGATGCGCAGCTCACTCATCAGCGATGGCTGATGCCCTTATGTCAAAAGCCTCTCTCTTGTTATCCTTTGTAAAACAATACTGTTCGCTCAATAGGCCTATTTGGAAGTTGATAACATATTTGGGAGCCTACAGGCAGATTAGTGTTCTCTTTTCAGCAGGAGCCATTTGCTTTCCAATCTATGTATTTGAAATACTGACAGATTTGCCACACCTTCCCGACTGTAGGCATGCCTTGTTATTGGGCTACACACAATCCACAGCTAGGCATAACAAATTAAATAAAAGCTATTGATCCTCTATGGCTAAATTATAGGCCTACCTCTGGTGTAGTATTCTGAATTATTTCATTTCTTTCTGAACAGACAGCAGTAATTCTATAACTTTTTGGCAAATGTATTTCAATTTATCAGGGGTGCTGCGGCACCTCCAGCACCCTTCCCGCAGCTATGATTTTAAAAGGAAATAAAGATTGAAGTACAATGCTGGAGAGATGAGAGTTGCAGGCTCATGTCTATCAGAGCAGAGAGAGGGAGAGCGATCATAGAAAGTAAATGTAATTCTAGTTCTGTGAGAGATTAAGGCACGCTTCTCTCTCTCCCCACAGCAATGGACATGCGTTGGTCTATAGGCTACAATGTTGTGCAAACCATAAGCCCGGGCCGGCCCAACTCAAATAAATTCTTAGAATATCAGGCACGTTTTCACAACGTTTTTTTTTTAGGGGGAAGGAGACTTACAGAGGAGGCAACTTGAATTAACTCTGATTGCTTTTATTCCAATGTTTACATTGCAAACAGGGAGAGAAAAAAATCATGCCAAGAGAGGTACCGGATCCTGGCAAATGGGTTCGGGAATGAAACAGTCCAAAACTGAGAGGTGCCGGATCCTCAAATTAAGCACTGTCTACGCCCCATGGCAAAATGTGTAGAATTGCAGGAAATGAAGTGTAAACCTTTTTTTTTCTTTCTCTGCTGTGAAGAAGGGGCTGTTAAAATGTTTTGCTCGCAAGGGCCCCAAAAGGCTAGGGCCGGCTCTGACTGCATGTGGGTATGGATGTGGGTACGCAGACCCGTGAGCCACTGCAGCCCCTCATGATGAGTTCAGATCTTTTGCGGCCCCCATCAGTGTCAGAGTGCAGTGTAGTGCATCGGTGCATGGCAGCGCCAGCAGCTCTAGTTTAGGGGCAGGGGTGGCATAAACATGTATATCTGCTCTCTCTGCGGTGCTGCATCAGAGCTGGAGACCCGGCCGGCAGGAAACAGATAACTTTGATCAGGCTCTGCATGTGGCCAGCCACAGCGCACATTTTTTTATTTTCCCCCTCCATTTTTTCATGCCTTTTCATTCCTCTGAGCTTAGATCTGCTCTGTTTGAAGATTACCATGGTCATAGTAGTTTTGGGTGGACGTGTGTGTATGTACAGTGGGGAGAACAAGTATTTGATACACTGCCGATTTTGCAGGTTTTCCTACTTACAAAGCATGTAGGGGTCTGTAATTTTTATCATAGGTACACTTCAACTGTGAGAGACGGAATCTAAAACAAAAATCCAAAAAATCACATTGTATGATTTTTAAGTAATTCATTTGCATTTTATTGCATGACATAAGTATTTGATACATCAGAAAAGCAGAACTTAATATTTGGTACAGAAACCTTTGTTTGCAATTACAGAGATCATACGTTTCCTGTAGGTCTTGACCAGGTTTGCACACACTGCAGCAGGGATTTTGGCCCACTCCTCCATACAGACCTTCTCCAGATCCTTCAGGTTTCGGGGCTGTCGCTGGGCAATACGGACTTTCAGCTCCCTCCAAAGATTTTATATTGGGTTCAGGTCTGGAGACTGGCTAGGCCACTCCAGGACCTTGAGATGCTTCTTACGGAGCCACTCCTTAGTTGCCCTGGCTGTGTGTTTTGGGTCGTTGTCATGCTGGAAGACCCAGCCACGACCCATCTTCAATGCTCTTACTGAGGGAAGGAGGTTGTTGGCCAAGATCTCGCGATACATGGCCCCATCCATCCTCCCCTCAATACGGTGCAGTCGTCCTGTCCCCTTTGCAGAAAAGCATCCCCAAAGAATGATGTTTCCACCTCCATGCTTCACGGTTGGGATGGTGGTCTTGGGGTTGTACTCATCCTTCTTCTTCCTCCAAACACGGCGAGTGGAGTTTAGACCAAAAAGCTCTATTTTTGTCTCATCAGACCACATGACCTTCTCCCATTCCTCCTCTGGATCATCCAGATGGTCATTGGCAAACTTCAGACGGGCCTGGACATGCGCTGGCTTGAGCAGGAGGACCTTGCGTGCGCTGCAGGATTTTAATCCATGACGGCGTAGTGTGTTACTAATGGTTTTCTTTGAGACTGTGGTCCCAGCTCTCTTCAGGTCATTGACCAGGTCCTGCCATGTAGTTCTGGGCTGATCCCTCACCTTCCTCATGATCATTGATGGCCCACGAGGTGAGTTCTTGCATGGAGCCCCAGACCGAGGGTGATTGACCATCATCTTGAACTTCTTCCATTTTCTAATAATTGCGCCAACAGTTGTTGCCTTCTCACCAACCTGCTTGCCTATTGTCCTGTAGCCCATCCCAGCCTTGTGCAGGTCTACAATTTTATCCCTGATGTCCTTACACAGCTCTCTGGTCTTGGCCATTGTGGAGAGGTTGGAGTCTGTTTGATTGAGTGTGTGGACAGGTGTATTTTATACAGGTAACAAGTTCAAACAGGTGCAGTTAATACAGGTAATGAGTGGAGAACAGGAGGGCTTCTTAAAGAAAAACTAACAGGTCTGTGAGAGCCGGAATTCTTACTGGTTGGTAGGTGATCAAATACTTATGTCATGCAATAAAATGCAAATTAATTACTTAAAAATCATAAAATGTGATTTTCTGGATTTTTGTTTTATATTCCGTATCTCACAGTTGAAGTGTACCTATGATAAAAATTACAGACCTCTACATGCTTTGTAAGTAGGAAAACCTGCAAAATCGGCAGTGTATCAAATACTTGTTCTCCCCACTGTATGTCTAGTGTTTGATCATCGTATATTATTTTGTGTTTCTAAGAGTTTGATGCATACTGCCTAGTGTGTAGACAAATGTGTACTTTGTAGACAAATGTTTGCTTATCTTAAGAGCATCTGCACACTGTATTTGTATATAGCTCTGGATTGATTTTGATGTTTCCTTCTCTCTGATGTGTGTTGATCCTTCTGTTGATGCTTCTCTCTAGGTGAGCGGCCATACCAGTGTCCTTACTGTGACAAAGCATTCAGCAAGAATGATGGACTGAAGATGCACATTCGCACACACACTCGGGTAAGTCTCCTTTCCACACCCACTCCTACCAAACACTCTCTCTTCTCTTTATTCCAGGCACAGTTTGAGGAGTTGGTGTTTCTCTGCCACATGGAAATGGTTTTATTTCCCTTTACCTCCTTCTCTTTCCATCCTCACACCCCATACGTGTGTGTGTGTGTGTGTGTGTGTTCACACATGTATGTCTCTATGTATTTGAGTGTAAAAACCAGTCATGAAAGCCAAGGAATAGTGATGGGGAAAAATGTATAGTTACATATCGCAATATAATGTTTGGATGATATTATATCAATATTTGACTCCTAAATCAAAAAAATATGTTTTGCTACTGTAGCTAGTGTTAGCTAGTGATAGTCGGCAGTACCTGCGCCAAAACTCTGATATTTTTCATCCTATAGCTTGTTCTCCATCTTCTTTTTAAGTAGTGAACAAACATGTTTTCAGCACTTTTATTTAATGACTGATCAAAACTAGTTTACTTATGCCTCTCTCTTGTCTCTCTGCAGCAGACACACTGTGTGCACAATTATTAGGCAAGTTGTATGTTTGAGGATTAATTGTATTATTGAACAACTACGGTGCTCTCGGTCAATCCAAAATGTTAATAAACCTCAAACCTGAATATTTAAGAAAGTAAAAGTTTGTTTTGCTTTCTTTGGAGAATATCTATGTATGCACAATTATTGGGCAACTATTAGTGTGCAGAATTATTATGCAACTAAATGAAAAACGAAAATGTCCCCATCTCATTTGTTTATTTTCATCTGTTAAAGTGAGAATAATAAACAAACAACTCAAAATTTACAAATAAACATTTCTGACATTTCAAAAAAGAATCAGTGACCAATATAGCCACCCTTCTTTTCAATAACAGTCATAAGCCTTCCATCCATGGAGTCTGTCAGTTTCTTGATCTGTTGACGATCAACTTTTTGTGCAGCAGCAACCATAGCCTCCCAGACACTGGTCAGAGAGGTGTACTGTTTTCCTTCACCATAAATCAACTATTTAAGAAGGGACCACAAGTTCTCAATAGGGTTTAGGTCAGGTGAGGAAGGGGGCCATGTCATTATTCTTTCATCTTTCAGGCCTTTACTGGCTAGCCATGCAGTGGAGTACTTCGATGCAAGCGATGGAGCATTGTCCTGCATAAAAATCATGGTCTTCTTGAAAGATGCAGACTTTTTCCTGTACCACTGCTTGAAGAAAGTGTCTTCTAAAAACTGGAAGTAGGTTTGGGAGTTGAGTTTGAGTCCATCTTCAACCCGAAAATGTCCAACTAGCTCATCTTTAATAATACCAGCCCATACCAGTACCCCACCTCGAAGTGGAGCTCCGTGCCCATTACTGATCCAGCCATGGGCCCATCCATCTGGTCCGTCAAGAGTCACTCTCATCTCATCAGTCCATAAAACCTTTGAAAAATCTGTCTTCAGATATTTCTTGCCCAGTCTTGACGTTTCAACTTATGTGTCTTGTTCAGTGGTGGTCGGGTTTCAGCCTTCCTTACCTTGGCCATGTCTCTGAGCACTGAACACCTTGTACTTCTGGGCACTCCAGGTAGGTTGCAGTTCTGGAATATGACAGCACTAGAGGATAATGGGTTCCTGGTAGCTTCACGTTTGATTCTTCTCAAATCTTTGGCAGTTAATTTGCGTCTTTTTTTCTCAACACGGTTCTTGCGACCCTGTTGACTATTTGCAACAAAACCTTTGATGGTTCTGTGATCACGCCCCAATATCTTAGCAATTTCAAGAGTGCTGCATCCCTCTGAAATACTTTTTACAATTTTTGACTTTTCAGAGTCAGGTAAATCCCTTTTTTGGCCCATTTTGCCTGAGGAAAATAAGCTACCTAATTATTATGTGGTCCTCTGTAGCTCAGCTGGTAGAGCACGGCGCTTGTAACGCCAAGGTAGTGGGTTCGATCCCCGGGACCACCCATACACAAAAAATGTATGCACGCATGACTGTAAGTCGCTTTGGATAAAAGCGTCTGCTAAATGGCATATTATTATTATTATAATTATAATTATACACACTTTGATATAGGGTGTTGATCTCCTTAGGCCACACCCTCCCTCATTACACAAATACACATCACCTGATATGCTTAAATCCAATAAGCATTCCAGTTTATACAGCTTGGAGTTGGGAAATATGCATAATAATGATGATGTGGTCAAAATACTGACTTGCCTAATAATTGTTCACACAGTGTAGTGAGCAATATGTTTGGAACATCAAATCGCAGTATAGAATCTAGGGCTGACCCCATTTAGTCGACTGGTCGATTGGTTGGTCCATAGGCTGTTGGTCGACCAATATTTTTTTAAGTCGAGCAGAGACAAATAGATAAAAAATTTTTGCGCCTGTCTCAGTGAACTAATCCATTGAGGAGGCCGCGGGGATGCCACAGTCCAAGAAATAGGGGAGTGTGGCTCAGCTGCACAGTGCACCTCTCTCTCCAGAATGCGCTCTCTCCCGCCATTTTGTGCATATCCATTGTTTCATAACTTCATTGTTTGCTGTGTCTATCAGTTCCCCATTACATATATCACTTGTAGTAGCCTACGTTTACCTTTAATTCCCATAATTTCGAATCTGCAATGTTTGTTTGGTTATGGTAATTTATGTTTTAAATATATTATTATTACAGTCGTTTACCGTTCTCATTGTCGGAGTGGACATGTTGTTTGCAGAACTCACAGCCCATGCTACACTTGTGAGAAACATGTTTTTGTGTATTTCATTCCATTTGCAAGTTTTGTCAATTTATTCATTATTTTGTTTGAAACGCTCCTGCAATGTTGACTAACGACGCACACCTGATTACGCATATAGAAGTACGACTAGTAGCCTGGCCTTTGCACAAATGTAGGCCTATAAAGGTGTCCATTTGGTGTTGTCTAATTAGTATTTCTGATTGTCTTAACTCACCACCAATAATGAACTGTGGAGCTTCTCAAAGTAATTTTTTCTTCACCTCAAACATCAAGTAAACAAAGTCTGTTTTTAGAATCAGTTGAGAATGACAATAGTTCCTCAAAGTATTTTAAAAATAACCACTTGGCATGAAAAGGAAAAATGTAATGCTCTGATTCAGTGGAAACGTCATAAAATACCTGTTTACTTCTTATCCCTTGCACAAATAGCCAACAGCTATGTCTGTCTCGAGCTCACTGGCGCGGGAAGGCCCAGAATATTTTATACAATGTTGCAAGTTTGCTAGCGCGAGTTTTGGGCCGACCCAGTTGATAGTTGATACAATGTTTCAAGTTCATTGCAGACATGCCATTGTGATTTATAGGATATTTATTTTTATCAGGCCTTTTTTTTAAACCTGAGGCTGCAATGTTTTTATTTGTTGGCTATTTTTACATAGTTGGCAATGGCAATAAAAGTTCGTTTTAGATTTGTATAATTTTCATTCAGATTTAGATAAAATGTAGATTAACCACACGGATAGCTCAATTGGTAGAGCATGGCGCTTGTAACGCCAGGGTAGTGGGTTCGAAAAATAAACGTTAAACATTTTTGACTCTCGTTTGACAAAGATTTTTTGTTGTTGTAGTCAGGGACATTCTGGATCTGTTTTCGTTGAGAGCTGTTTTTGTTGCCAGATGTTTTTAACCTCCAAACGGGCTAGGAAATAACTTCTTACTACAACATGACTTATGGTGTATTCGATAAGTTACATGAAATATCCTTAAGCATACTTTTCTGTTTTTATGTAGGAAAATCTGCACATACAGTGGGGAAAAAAAGTATTTAGTCAGCCACCAATTGTGCAAGTTCTCCCACTTAAAAAGATGAGAGAGGCCTGTAATTTTTATCATAGGTACACGTCAACTATGACAGACAAAATGAGGAAAAAAAATCCAGAAAATCACATTGTAGGATTTTTAATGAATTTATTTGCAAATTATGGTGGAAAATAAGTATTTGGTCAATAACAAAAGTTTCTCAATACTTTGTTGTATACCCTTTGTTGGCAATGACACAGGTCAAACGTTTTCTGTAAGTCTTCACAAGGTTTTCACACACTGTTGCTGGTATTTTGGCCCATTCCTCCATGCAGATCTCCTCTAGAGCAGTGATGTTTTGGGGCTGTCGCTGGGCAACACAGACTTTCAACTCCCTCCAAAGATTTTCTATGGGGTTGAGATCTGGAGACTGGCTAGGCCACTCCAGGACCTTAAAATGCTTCTTACGAAGCCACTCCTTCGTTGCCCGGGCGGTGTGTTTGGGATCATTGTCATGCTGAAAGACCCAGCCACGTTTCATCTTCAATGTCCTTGCTGATGGAAGGAGGTTTTCACTCAAAATCTCATGATACATGGCCCCATTCATTCTTTCCTTTACACGGATCAGTCGTCCTGGTCCCTTTGCAGAAAAACAGCCCCAAAGCATGATGTTTCCACCCCCATGCTTCACAGTAGGTATGGTGTTCTTTGGATGCAACTCAGCATTCTTTGTCCTCCAAACACGACGAGTTGAGTTTTTACCAAAAAGTTATATTTTGGTTTCATCTGACCATATGACATTCTCCCAATCCTCTTCTGGATCATCCAAATGCACTCTAGCAAACTTCAGACGGGCCTGGACATGTACTGGCTTAAGCAGGGGGACACGTCTGGCACTGCAGGATTTGAGTCCCTGGCGGCGTAGTGTGTTACTGATGGTAGGCTTTGTTAATTTGGTCCCAGCTCTCTGCAGGTCATTCACTAGGTCCCCCCGTGTGGTTCTGGGTTTTTTGCTCACCGTTCTTGTGATCATTTTGACCCCACGGGGTGAGATCTTGCGTGGAGCCCCAGATCGAGGGAGATTATCAGTGGTCTTGTATGTCTTCCATTTCCTAATAATTGCTCCCACAGTTGATTTCTTCAAACCAAGCTGCTTACCTATTGCAGATTCAGTCTTCCCAGCCTGGTGCAGGTCTACAATTTTGTTTCTGGTGTCCTTTGACAGCTCTTTGGTCTTGGCCATAGTGGAGTTTGGAGTGTGACTGTTTGAGGTTGTGGACAGGTGTCTTTTATACTGATAACAAGTTCAAACAGGTGCCATTAATACAGGTAACGAGTGGAGGACAGAGGAGCCTCTTAAAGAAGAAGTTACAGGTCTGTGAGAGCCAGAAATCTTGCTTGTTTGTAGGTGACCAAATACTTATTTTCCACCATAATTTGCAAATAAATTCATTAAAAATCCTACAATGTGATTTTCTGGAAAATCTTTTCTCAATTTGTCTGTCATAGTTGACGTGTACCTATGATGAAAATTACAGGCCTCTCTCATCTTTTTAAGTGGGAGAACTTGCACAATTGGTGGCTGACTAAATACTTTTTTCCCCCACTGTACTACTGTGTTTTTATGTTTGCGATTGTGTGTGTCTAAGATACACCTCATGGACACCTGCTCGTCGAACATCTCATTCCAAAATCATGGGCATTAATATGGAGTTGGTCCCCCCTTTGCTGCTATATCAGCCTCCACTCTTCTGGGAAGGCTTTCTGCTAGATGTTGGAACATTGCTGCGGGGACTTGCTTCCATTCAGCCACAAGAGCATTAGTGAAGTCGGGCACAGACCCCAAAGTTGGAAGCACAGAATCGTCTAGAATGGCATTGTATGCTGTAGCGTTAAGATTTCCCTTCACTGGAACTAAAGGGCCTAGCCTGAACCATTGTGTGGCCTACCACTTCACGGCTGAGCCGTTGTTGCTCCTAGACGGTTCCACTTCACAATAACAGCACTTAGAGTTGACCGGGGCAGCTTTAGCAGGGCAGACATTTGACGAACTGACTTGTTGGAAAGATGGCATCCTATGACAGTGCCACGTTGAAAGTCACTGAGCTCTTCAGAAAGGCCATTCTACTGCCAATGTTTGTCTATGGAGATTGCATGGCTGTGTGCTCAATTTTATACACCTGTCATTAATGGATATGGCTGAAATGGCAAATCCACTAATTTTAAGGGGGTATTTTATATATAGTGTACCAGTCCCAGGTGTCCATAAATGCTAATCTGCCCATCTCCAGCGCTATGCTTTAGTGGATCTGCTCCATGCTCAGCCAAGCTGTAGAACGTAACACACCCAGGAATAGAGGTTCACACACCTCTGCCAGGCAGCCAGGAGTAGAGAGGAGTCCTGTCTTGCCAGTCAGTGTCTAGATCTGCAAACATGAAAGCTGAAGGACATTCTTTCCCAGGAGGCGATTCCAGAACACTCACGTAAACTTCTCCCACAGTTATTTTTTTTCAAGACCAGGGAGGATAATGAAGACTACTTAGAGCTGGATATGGTGGACTAGAATACATCCACATGTAATAGCAATCTCATAGCAGACACTGAGTACAGTCTGATTTTTAAAGACCGTGATTGGGTTCCTGACTGTACATTGTGAGGACATGACAGGTATCGTTAGTGTTGATATGATGAGCATGTAAATGTAAACTGACTCAGAGCTTGGATCAACCTGCTCAGGGTGGGGAGAGGAAGGGCATGGTCACCCTGGTCTCTCATGAGGTCATTTCCTGCCCGTGCCTCTGCACTACTTCTCCACCCACTGAAGTCCTCTACCTAATCACCGCTTTCCATGAGGTATGTGTGTTGGAGTGTGGTTGTGTTTAGCCATGGGAGTGTATATTTATGTACAGTATTTATTTATAACTTTTTACATGATCATTAATTGATATGGGTATGGCCTGAAGGTTTTGTTGACACGTTTCGAGTACATTTCCTGTTTGCTCAAGCACACATCATTATGTTGCACTCAATGAACCTGGACTGCAGGTACAGTATAAAGCTTCTGGCCTAAAACAGTACAGTGGAAACAGGCAGCTGGCGGTACTGGGACACTCCTATCAGCTCTTATTCTCTAGCGAGGACTTGATGAAACATTCATGTTTGAATTGAGACATGGCTTTGTGTGTCCCTGGCTCTGTCTTTGCTCAGAGCACCGTGACTGCAGTAGTGAAATATGGGCTGAGCTGTGACACACAGCAGAGAGCTGGACGATGAAGTCACCCCACAGCAGAACAAATGCGATTTGGCTGAAGGAGCTCCAGCTCTTTGTTAATGTATAGTTTAGAGATGGATCTGTTTAGAGTTGTGTGTTTATCCCACATACCAAACCATCGGCAACTACAATAGAACACATGTGATTCGTATAAAGTGGCTGACATGTTGCCTGGTCAGAGATTTTTATTAATCTCTTTAAGTTTCTGTGATGGTGACAAGAGTGATCTGACTGTAAATACACTGATTAAAATTCCACTGGTTCCCTCTGTGGGGGTGCCTGTTTGATTTTGTTTTACTTTGGCCCAGAGTTCTGAAGTTCCGTCAGAATCTTCCAAGCTCCTCTGTTTTCAGTTTGAAAACCTCTTAAAGGGTTTTACTGTAACACTTTTTCATTGGTCAGTTATAGCTGGTTCCTATTGGTCCAATATAGCAGTCTCTGATTGGTTCATCACAGCATTAAGTGATCGGAGCAGTTTAGATGGGTATTAGCAATACGGCAGTTGCTCCCCCTTGCCCTCTAGTAGGCTAGGTGGAATGATCACCATACTGCTAATTACCTCTCCAATTCTTTCAAAGCTATAAGAAGTGCCTAGGGGTATATGGGCAAGGCTCTGATTTTGTATTGGATAACAGAGGATGGGGACATCCAATGTGGCCATACTGGTTTAGAGATGACCATTGACATAAAACGTGATCCTCCTGGCTCTTAGAGTACATAAACAGAGCTTTATCCCTCCATTCATAACCCTGCTGGCTCTTGACTGGACAGATTCAGAGGTGAGCCAGTCAGAGGGTCAGGTTGAATGTCACTAGGGTGAACAGCTGCTGAAGAGCGGAGGTCACCAGGTACAGATGTTAGATTTACATATACATTTACGTCATTTAGCAGACGCTCTTATCCAGAGCGACTTACAGTTAGGGCATACATTATTCTTTTTCATTTTCATACCCCATGGGAATCAAACCCTCAACCCTGGCGTTGCAAACGCCATGCTCTACCAACTGAGCTACCTCCCTGCCGGCCATTCCCTCCCCTACCCTGGACGACGCTGGGCCAATTGTGCGCCGCCCCATTGGTCTCCCGGTTGCGGCCGGCTACAGCAGAGCCTGGATTCGAACCAGGATCTCTAGTGGCACAGCTAGCACTGCGATGCAGTGCCTTAGACCACTGCGCCACTCGGGAGTTTATGTCACTGGGGTCACAGTGATGCATTCTGGGTCCTCCACATCAACCCTCTGAACTTGAACCCTTTTTGGTTTTCTGTATGTCATTCAGGAGGAAGTTTTCCCCTGAGTAGGAAAGTGATGCTTTATTAGAAAAGTGATACCAATTAAACTAGCAGGTTTATAATACACAAACCGTCACTTATGTTCTGGTTTGGTCTCCACACCCAAGTTTCTCACACACCCCCACACACTCTGTTAGGCATCTCTCGTTTTCATTCTTTCTCTCACAAACACACTCACGCAGACACACACACACTCATACACACACACAGACATATGCATTGAACCTTTACCTCCTGTTGTATCCTGTGTCGATGGCCACTCCTTGTCCCGCCCATATGATAGCTCTTTTCCCAGGACCCTTACTTCCTGCATTCACCCAGTTCCCATGACAACTGAACCCTAAATGGGTAGAGACTTTGCTATCAGTGAGTCTTGTCAAAAAGAGCCACCCAAAGACTGACACTCAAAAAGGATCGGAGTCCCACTATCGCAGTGCTTATTATTTCTTCTAACTCTAACTAAGCTTTCAAGTGTCAACCCTATTTCCCTGAAGTCAGACACACCTAGACCAAGACTGTCCACCCAGAAAAACACACGCACGCACACACGCACACACACATATACACAATAACACACCCACAGAGCGATAGGAGCTTTTGAGTGACACCCAGACAGGCCTCTGAAAGGCACAGAGGAAATGTTCTTTGGTAAACTGATGAGGTGTGGAGAAGAGGTGATATTCTACAGCCCCAGTGAGCCGGTGCACTGGTACATGTTCAAAGGGCTTTTCTGTGCCGTGTTTTCTTATGCTTTAGAGGGATCCATGTGTTCCTTATGGCCCCATACGCTGGCCATTTCCTCCCTATTTCAGGGGCTGTACAATCTCTCATTTCATATCTCCATAAACTCTCTGGGGGGGGGGAAGTGAGAGGATATGAGGGTGTGTGTGTGATTGTGGGTGTCCATTGTGTGAGAGTCAATGTCTCTCTTTGAGTACCGTATTTGTGTATAGTATACAGGTTGGCTGTGTGTTGAGAGGTGATCTATGTGTGTGTTTGTTTGTTTGTGTGTCCCTGCAGGAGAAGCCATATAAATGCAGTGAGTGTAACAAGGCCTTCAGTCAGAAGAGAGGTCTGGACGAACACATGAGGACCCACACCGGAGAGAAACCCTTCCAGTGTGATGTGAGTCTCAAACCACCGAAAGTAAAAGACGCCCAAAAAGTTACATACAGTTGAAGTCGGAAGTTTACATACACTTAGGTTGGAGTCATTAAAACTCGTTTTTCAACCACTCCACAAATTTCTTGTTAACAAACCATATTTTTGGCAAATTGGTTAGGACATCTACTTTGTGCATGACACAAGTAGTTTTTCCAACAATTGTTTACAGACAGATTATTTCACTTATAATTCACTGTATCACAATTCCAGTGGTTCAGAAGTTTACAAACACTAAGTTGACTGTACCTTTAAGCAGCTTGGAAAATTCTAGAAAATGATGTCATGGCTTTAGAAGCTTCTGATAGGCTAATTGACATCATTTGAGTCAATTGGAGGTGTACCTGTGGATGTATTTCAAGGCCTACCTTCAAACTCAGTGCCTCTTTGCTTGACATCATGGGAAAATCAAAAGAAATCAGCTAAGACATCAGAAAAATAATTGTAGACCTCCACAAGTCCCAAGGTTCATCCTTGGGAGCAATTTCCAAATGCCTGAAAGTACCACGTTCATCTGTACAAACAATAGTACGCAAGTATAAACACCGTGGGACCACGCAGCCGTCATACCGCTCAGGAAGGAGACGCGTTCTGTCTCCTAGAGATGAACGTACTTTGGTGCGAAAAGTGCAAATCAATCCCAGAACAGCAGCAAAGGACCTGGATGGAAAGGACCAAAGGATGCTGGAGGAAACAGGTACAAAAGTATCTATATCCACAGTAAAACGAGTCCTATATCGACATAACCTGAAAGGCCGCTCAGCAAGGAAGAAGCCACTGCTCAAAAACCGCCATAAAAAAGCCAAACTATGGTTTGCAACTGCACATGGCGACAAAGATCGTACTTTTTGGAGAAATATCCTCTGGTCTGATGAAACAAAAATAGAACTGTTTGGCCATAATGACCATCGTTATGTTTGGAAGAAAAAGAGGGTTGCTTGCAAGCTGAAGAACACCATCCCAACCGTGAAGCACGGGGGTGGCAGCATCATGCTGTGGGGGTGCTTTGCTGTAGGAGGGACTGGTGCACTTCACAAAATAGATGGCATCATGAGGAAGGAAAATGATGTGGATATATTGAAGCAACATCTCAAGACATCAGTCTGGAAGTTAAAGCTTGGTCGCAAATGGGTCTTCCAAATGGACAATGACCCCAAGCATACTTCCAAAGTTATGTCAAAATGGCTTAAGGACAACAAAGTCAAGGTATTGGAGTGGCCATCACAAAGCCCTGACCTCAATCCTATAGAAAATTTGTGGGCAGAACTGAAAAAGTGTGTGCGAGCAAGGAGGCCTACAAACCTGACTCAGTTACACCAGCTCTGTCAGGAGGAATGGGCCAGAATTCACCCAACTTATTGTGGGAAGGTTGTGGAAGGCTACCCGAAACGTTTGACTCAAGTTAAAGGCAATGCTACCAAATACTAATTGAGTGTATGTAATCTTCTGACCCACTGGGAATGAGCTGAAATAAATCGTTCTCTCTACTATTATTCTGACATTTCACATTCGTAAAATAAAGTGGTGATCCTAACTGACCTAAGACAGGGAATTTGTACTATGATTAAATGTCAGGAATTGTGAAAAACTGAGTTTAAATGTATTTGGCTAAGGTGTATGTACATTTCCGACTTCAACTGTATTGCCACTTTAACCCTAACCATAAATCCAAATGATGTGGGTATATGTATGTGTACATATGTGTATGTCCGTGCTTGTGTGTCCATGCTTATGTATGTGTGTCTGTGCGCTCCTCAGCCAGACAGTGACACAGGGCCAGATGTGGGCTAAAACTCAATATGAGGAAGATAAAGATCTCTCTCCTCTGGAGAGGTCTAGTCGACTGATCTCACGTAAACACATTGAGAGGATCAGAGGGAGAAATGACCTTCTGTTTATAATACCGCAGGAGTAATAATGATTCTCAGAGAGAGAAACACGCGACCAAGGATCCTGCTGATGCTTTGGAAGAATCTTTTAAGACATGTTAAAGTCTCTGGATCCCCCTCACCTTCCTCTTACCATGTCTGGAAATTTAAAACATCTTTCCTTTCACTGTTTTTATTCTGTTTTATGGGAGAACCACAAGTGTGTCTTTTTAAGTTATCTGAGTTTTAAATCCGAAAGCCAATCAAATTGGCTGTTTCCTTAACTCTCAGAACCGTCTGACATGATGGGTCTTTTATGCCCAGAGTGGCTGGGTTAGCACTAGGGGGTTTCATTTCAAGGATGTGTTTGAATTCAATTTATGAAATGTATTGTTGATTCAGTATTAAAAGTTTTGAGTGCTATTGTCATTCTTTTGTATCTCCAGCCATCTATTTGGGATGACGTGCATCCCAAATGTGATTAAAGCTGGTTGGTGATGTGATCACAGAAACACACACTCTGTCACAGAAAGGTTTACTGCTGGTGAACTTTAGGGGACTTCTCCACTGTTTGCATTTTGACTGGAGGATATTCAAGTGCGAAGAAGACATGCTGGGAAGCCTGAGTCTGGGTGTCGAAATGCTGCACTCATTTCAATGATTGATTAAGATGATTGGTAGTGTGAAATGGAGTCATTTGTAGGGTGTAAAACTAATAATTTGTGATGGATGTTATTTTTAATTTATTCCCTCTCTATGTCGGGAAAATGTGATTTCTAACTAAGCCTTCTCTCATGTAATTTACAGTACAAACTAAATGTGGTTCAGTCAGCTGGCTGTACCCATAATAGGGATTGTATAGGTTAATATTGCTCTGCAGCATACTCCTTTAGTTTAGGACTGAAATAATTCAGTAAGATCCATCAGAGACCTACTATAACAGAGATTTGTATATACTGTAATTAAGGTCTAATCCATTCTAATCTTTAACAGAGATAACTAACACACTTCTCTTTCCTCTGCTCTCTGTAGGTGTGTGATCTGTCGTTCAGTCTGAAAAAGATGCTGAGCAGACACAAGCTGACCCACAACCCCAACAGGCCCATGGCAGAATGCTCGCTGTGCCACAAGAAGTTCACCAGGAACGACTACCTCAAAGTGCACATGGAGAATGTTCACGGGGAGACAGAGGGCTAGGACCCATCTACTGTATATGATACTACTGAAGATAAACTACAGTGAGCTCCAAAAGTATTGGGACAGTGACACATGTGTGGTTGTTTTGGCTTTGTACTCCAGCATTTTGGATTTGAAATGATACAATTAAACAAGGTTAAAGTGCAAACTGTCAGCTTTTAATTTAAAGTGCAAACTACTTTTTTAATTTGAGGATATTTTCATCCATATCGGGTGAACCGTTTAAAAATTGCAGCACTTTTTGTATAGTCCCCCCATTTTAGGGGACCAAAAGTATTGGGACAAATTCACTTACAGTATGTTTATTAAAGTAGTAAAGAGTTAAGTATGTTGTCCCATATTCATAGTACACAATGACTACATGAAGTTTGTGACTCTACAAATTTGTCAGATGCATTTGCTGTTTGTTCTGGTTGTGTTTCAGATTATTTTGTGCGCAATAGAAATGAATGGCAAATAATGTATTGTGTCATTTTGGAGTCACTTCTATTGTAAATAAGAATATAATATGTTTCTAAACACTTGTACATTAATGTGGATGCTACCATGATTATGGAGAGTCCTGAATGAAAAGGTTACATGCACAAATATCATACACCCCTACCCAAAAATGCTAACCTCCCGTGTTATTGTGAGAGGTTAGCATGTCTTGGGGGTATGATATATGTGCGTCTGTAACTTTCTCACTCATCATGATTCATTCAGGGTTATCCATAATTCATCGTAGCATCCATATCAATGTAGAAGGGTTTAGAAACATTCTATTCTTATTTACAATAAAAGTGACTCCAAAATGACACTATTTGCCATTCATTTCTATTGGGCACAAAATAATCTGAAACACAACCAAAACAAACAGCAAATGCATCCAAGAAGTTTGTAGAGTCACAAGCCTGATGTAGTAATTGTGTGGTATGAATATGGGACCAAATACTTAACTTTTGACTACTTTAGGACACGTAAGTGAATTTGTCCCAATACTTTTGGTCCCCTAAAATGGGGGGACTATGTACTAAATGTGCTGTAATTTCTAAACGGTTAACCCGATATGGATGACAATACCCTCACATTAAAGCTGACAGTCTGCACATTAATCTCATAGTCACTGTATTGTTTCAAATCCAAAGTGCTGGAGTACAGAGCCAAAACAACAAAACATATCACTGTCCCAATACTTTTGGAGTTCACTGTATATTTGCAGTGTTAAACATACAGGGTGGCCTGCTATGCATTTCAGATGTAGCAATAAGCAGTCTTTTTTTTTCTATAAAATATATACAAATGCAGAATATGGAAAAGATTAGATTTCAATATCGGAACATATCCTGCATATATTAATTATTTAGTATGAACATTAGATATTCAATTCACAGGGGGTTTGGATGAGGCGCATGACCCACGCTGTTCTGATCTGCTTCCAAACCGCCCTTCTCTTCCTGTTTATACTTTACATTCAATTGAGTATCAATAGGAAAGTTTGGGAGTGGCATGTCCAGACAATTCAGCACAATAAAATAACTAGCCTCGCTCAAAAATTATCTTTCCTACTTATCGGCTTCTAGGTTCCCACCTCATGCCAACCATACATTGCCTTACTCTGTTAGAGCTATATGCTTGTGACCAGGTAACAAACTTTCCAGAGAGTTTAAAAGCCAAAGATGTTTACCAAACACAGCCAGCCTACTCCCTTCCCACGCATTATCAGGAAATGCAATGAATTTGTTATTACTGTTGTCAAAGTTACTGTTACTGTTTGTCAAAAGAAGAGCAAAAATTGTTCATATACTGTATTTCATGTCAGCTAAGACTGTTTTATATGGTTATTTCATATACTGTATTTCATGTCAGCTAAGACTGTTTTATATGGTTATTTCATATACTGAGGGACCAAGCTTTGTGTTTATACTCCTGTTTTTTTAATCCTGTATGTTAAATGGATAATGTATTTAATGGATGGTGCAATTATGTATGTTTCTCTGTTCTTTTTATATGGCCAGACCATATCCTTCCTGTGTTCCACAGACTGTTACACATTCCCTCTCTTTTACTGTTCATCTCAAACTGTGAATATTTCACATCACACGTATCTGTTTTGAAATGTACTTCATAAAAACCGAATTACTTACCAAACAGCCATTTACTCTGTTAATTCTAAGTACGTGTCGATTAACTGTTGACGTTGGGGTATTTCGGAAACACTTTGAGAGTTGATTAAATTTGTTCACTTTGTTGTTGTTAATTTAACCGTTATTCTTGGGTTGGCTGGCAGTCTGCTGCGAGCCTAAAGTAATTAAAGTGTTTTCTTCCCCAGAGGCCACAGTCACCACTCTGATCACCACTGCCTGATCCCTACAGTTCCCACTTTGCCTGATCTAAAGCAACCAACTAAAGAGGCTCTCTGATGGTTTCTCTACTCTCTTCTCTGCTCTCTCTATAAAGGGACTCACTCTGACTCATTTCTCACACTCATCCACTGCTGAAGCTCCTGATAGGCTCAAAGGCGTCTATTTGAAGGGTTTACTGAATCTGTGAGAATCTCCTGAATGGCAGCTGGATGCTGGATCAGACTCCCAGAGCTGCGAGTCTCTAAGCTTGTCATCAAATAGGCTGTTAAGAGTGGGTATAAATCCTGTCATGTTTGAGTCAGTGTCCGCAAGCACACACTCCGGTTTATAAAACCAATGCAGATGGCATGTCTATTTTCTGTGTTTGGGTGCTTGTTTATGTGGATTTTGTGCAAAATCCATCAATTAATCAGATGTATTGAACTGGTAACACCTATCCCCCCAGAGACTGATTAGGCATATGCTACTCTTGCATGCTAAACTTATGGGAGACGGTGGATATGGGAAGCGACATATGCATGCGCCTCTGCAGGCGCGGCGTCTCCATTCACAGTCCCAGTGTCCCTGAGGACTGGGGCGGCTGACTGTTCTGCAGGATTCTCAGATCAGATGTGGCCATGTTAACCTCCACTCCCTCTGGAGCTGGGTTCACCACATGGCTGTCCAGGCAGGGCGTGGCTCAGCCAGCACACAGGGCCCTGAAACCACGCTGCCCATTGGGCCGGCTGTGCTCGCTGTCTGTGCCCGCTGTCTGCTCTTAGTGGTCAGGCCTCAGGGCTGCGCTGATGCTCTTAAACACAGTGGAATTTTTTTTAAATGTTGTAAATAAAGTATGGGTGCTTTTCTCAACCGTGGAATAACCCTTTCCACACCTCAACGCAAAGTTTAGAGGGTTGACGGCTCTAAAAGATGTTGGCTTTTCCCTTACCAGTGTGTGTTTTCTTGGGACAGCCCCCCATCTCCATATACAGAGCTGTAGTATCATGCACACTGGGGCTCCCACCAAGTCAATGTGTTTCTAATTACATGTTTTTACTGGAAGCCCCAGTTTCCTGCTCTGCCTCCCCATCTGTGAGTGTGGCCAGACTGGGCCAAGACCAGCGTCCACCCACAGCTCCCCACGCCAGCCACGCCCACCGCCATGGAGTGTCATTACCACGCCAGCCGGGGTTTACAGCAAAACCACCGTCACGTCGGGAATGACACGGACAAGGTTGTCTCGCCACGCTGTTTGGTCGCCGTTGCTGTGGTAACGGATAGTCTAGAACACTTCTGTGACCAGGGGAATGCGGAGTTGTTGGGTGCCCCGTGTGCAGGGTGCCATCCATGTGCATTTTATATGTATAGGGAGGGTGTGTGGGTCTAGTGTGGGTCTATTCTGGGCCTCTGTACCAACATTCCTGGACATTCCTTTAAAGCTGAGGGCCTGCGTCCATGGAAACTGAGGTGCCCAAAAAACCCTGGTGCCCAAAACCACTTAGAGGTCAAGAACTTGACAGTGAGTAAGACAACACTAGCAGGAAAAAGAGTCATAGAAAAGTGTAGTCAAGATAATTGAGAGTTGTACGTGGAGAAAGATGAAATATCTCTAGTTTGACCTCAGAGCCTCTGCTGGTCAAAGAAAGCACTACAGTGGAATACTCAGCACAATTGTATCTGTCCTTGTTCTGTGTGTGTGTGTGTGTTTAAATTAGGAGATGGTCTAACCTAATATCCAGTGTCCCAGACTGCATGGAAAAGGAGGGTTCTATCAGGTCAGGCACTCCCCCCCCCGAATATCCCCCAATTACCCCCCTCATACACCAACATAAACGCTTCCTGAAGATTCAAAACATGAGAAATGCATTTTAGAAAATGATATCTTCCTCTAACATTATTCAGCCCAGTATCACAAGCAAGTTGCATGTATCAATCAATCAAATGTATTTTATAAAGCCCTTTTACATCAGCAGTTTCTAGGAAGAAACCTAGAAAGGAACCAGGCTCCTTTTCTGCTAGGTGGAGATTTAAGAGTACATTTGGCCATTAAGGCCAGATCGTTTTGAACATTCATAGATGACCAGCAGGTTCAGATAATAACCATGGTGGCTATTGAGGGTGCAACAGTTCAACACCTTGATTGTCAGTTGGCTTTTCATAGTCAGGAAAAAAGTGTTTGAGTGATGATTATAAGGCATCAAAAGGTATCTTTCTGCAAATATAAACCTGTGAGAAAGGAACAGTGGTGTTCTCACATTCTTTGAGAAGATGCAGATTTGGAGGTCAGACATTGTGTCCTTGTTGTTTACCCTGTATCTGCCAGGATGTGGCACTTGATTCGAAGTTGCCTCAGACTCCAGGCTGAGGCTGAAGCTCGTGAGAAACGCCCCATGAATGTAGCAATGTACAGAGAACAAAGCTGGACAGGCATTGTCCCAAAACAGAATGTTCAGTTCAAGAATGTCAGCTTCTTTTCCTGTTCTGTCAAATACTCTGCTCCTTCTGAGCAGTAACTATATTTCAGGCCTGGGTTATATCCAGGCTCTAACCAATATCTGATGAATGTGTTGAGGTTTCTCTTGATCCAACAAACACTCTTCCCCTCTTTTTCTCACAGCGGAGAGAGGGGGATGATGAAAGAAGAGAATTGGACAGAGGTCTAGAGGTAGGCTGAGAGAAAGTAAAGACCACAGAAAACATGGATGTTGATAATGAATGTCTAAAGTAAAAGGCATCAGTCAGTAAGTCCACCTCTATAGCCCCAGTGGTCTTCAGTTCTGTCATCAGGTGCATTGCGTGTGCCTTCACTCTGCAGTGTCATTAGTGACCACAGCCCTGTCTGCACCTTACAAGCTGCTGACTGGGAGAAACATGTGGAATGCCGTCAAGCACATTATTATACCTAAAGAAAAGGAGAATCTCCTCTGCCTCCTCTACCCTATTCATTTTAAACTGACAAAGATATCAGGTGTGTTCTTCAGGATGAGATCCTTGTGTAGAGAACCTATAGAGTGTACAAATAAAATGAATAGGGTTCAACTTCACACCTCACATAACACCTAAGGGCGATTCCATGGCAGCAGGAGTGGAAAATATTTGTGGTATCTCAGATTATTCTGGCAATTCTCACATAGAAACTTCATTGGGAGAAATTGTGTTTGAAATGCTTTGACAGCAAGATGTTGTCTGTAGCATGTATAGGTTTAAAAAGTGCCTATAATGGCCACTTGATAGGGTTTTCTGTTCAAGGGCATTTGTTGTCAATACAATTTTGGGTTTGTGATACAATGTAAAAAGCATGTCAAACATTCTTCCTCCCAATTAAGTTTCTATGTGAGAATTGGCAGAACAATCTGAGATACCCAAAATATTTTCAGCTGGCGTGGAATCGCCCCTAAAAGGATTTAAGTTTTCTCCAACCCAAATGTTCTTGACAACAAATGCACTTGAACAGAAAACCCTATCAAATTCTGTGCAGTTGCCAAGGTTCGATGTAGCTCACGAAACTAGAGACACATTTCAAGAGCCGCCGCATTATCGAATTCAACACATTATTTGTATTAGTTTGGGAATATTTGGGAAGGCTGTTGCTGTGTAATGGCTGCCTCTCCTCTCCCCAAACCAGAGCCATCTTTACGAAATCCCATTCCCTTCCTACGATGTTCACTGATAGCTGTTCTGGGAATTAAGTGATTGACGATGACAGAGAAGTCTTAACTGGTGTAGTGAAAACTTTTGTGAGAATGTGATGAGAGCTCCACCATATTTCTTCAGACAGTTACTCGTCCCTTTACTTGCCTCCACCCTCTCCTTCATTCTTCTCTCTCTTTTCCTTTCTTTTTCTCTGCCCTCCTAAACACGTCTTTTAGGGTTCGGCTACATTGAAACGCCCAACACAAATCTTCCAAGAGCACACTGGGTGTTGAGAACCAGTTAAGACAAGACACCAAGGTTAATGACACGCAAACAAATGTTTCAACACCAGAACACACACAGAGACATACACTGAGGCCCATGGGCTCACCCACACAGACATGCACAATAGCACTGGTAAATGTAGCCATTGACTGACTCACACCATTTGTGCCTTGATACATTATCAATACAGGAGCACAGAACGACAAGTAAATACATGTAAACGATATGTAATATCAGTAATGAAACAGCAGGGAGTTGTATGTTAACACCGACATAAGGCTGTAGTTGTCCCCTTGCAGGATGAAGCTCTGTTTTAGATTTGTTTTTGTGTTTGAAAGTGAGCTGGTTGTACAGAGTCCCACTTGTGGGAGAGATGGAGAAACTAAACACCAGACTGAAGGTCTGTTTTCTGTCAGAGCAGGGAGAGGAGCGACCCTGGGATACACACCTTTCATGTGCTGACTTAGCCTGCACTGAAAACACACACACCCAGACACACACACAGAGCTGTGACTTAGACACTGAGAATGGCCTCCAGTGTCTCTGTCCTTTATGCACGGCTATGTGAGGTGAGACAGGGCCTCTGTCTGAGCTCTTTACATTAGGCATGCTGAACCTGCTACTCCCAGACCACACACACAGGCAGACACACACATACGTGCACTGAATGGTAATTCCCCCGGCATACAGGGACATCATGTAAGGGGAGGGACTCTGCTGCCAGAATGAACAGCTGCCTGGGCCAAAACACATCTATCTTTCACAGGAAGTCATTGGTCAAACAAATGTAATTCACCAAGTGTTTCTGTCTTTTTTGTTTGAGCCATTTAACCGTGACTGCAACTTTCTAACACACTCTAATACACACCGTCCACACACTCAAACACAGTTCACATGATTCAAACACACACACACACACTCACACTCACACACACACACTTTCACACTCACACATACACACAGGTAGCGTAGCGGTTAAGAGTGTTGGGCCAGTAACCGTAACTGGTTCGAATCCCCGAGCCGGCAAGGTGGAAAAATCGGAAGACACATTACAGTTGAATTTATTCAGTTGTGCAACTGACTAGGTATCCCCCTTTCCCTATATACACACACAGCTACTGTAGAGTGGAGACAGAAGAGCAAGGCCGAGGTCCTGTTTCATAAAAGATGCCTCACTCACATACACATTGTGGTTTCAGTGCTTTGCAAACACAGACTGTCTCTGTTGCACTGTGAGCAGCTTATCTAAACACATACGTACTCTCACATGTATTTACTCAGTGGTGTTTATTCTGGGGACATCAAGGGTGACATTATGACATGATGATGGCAGAAAATATTGCTAGTATTGTCACATCAGATGTACATTTCCCATACCTAATATTCTACTTTGGCCACCATATTGAATTTGGCCATATCCATGGTGGCCTCTGGACATAATTCAAATGATATGAGCTCAAGATGCCAAAGCCACTGAGAGACTTTCAACAGTAAATGGCTGGCACCTGTCTATTACACTCCAACCAGTGGAGGCTGCTGAGGGGAGGACAGCTCACAATAATGGCTGGAACGGAGCGAATAGAATGGCATCAAATACATGGAAATCATGTTTGATGTATTTGATACCATTCCACCATTCCGCTCCAGCCATTACCACGAGCCCGTTCTCCCCAATTAAGGTGCCACCAACCTCCTGGGACTCCAACTAAAGATGACTAAAACAGTACTACAAAAGATGGCACTGTAACAGTACGTTGCCACGGTAAAAAAAGCAGCACACATGTACAGTACAGACGTCCTATCTTAATTTGCCCAGTTTCTTACAGCAGGAAACTAATCCTGCAGCAACAGGAAATGTGAATTATTATGTGGATTATATTATATTAATTCACATTTTTGTGGGGGTTGATGCAGTTTTAGTTAGGATAAATCAGGTCTGACATTTTAAAGTGGAAATTACAATTTTAGAAGCCTTTTTAACCTCGAATACGCTACAATTGCTGCACAGGAAAATTATCTGCGACAACAGAGTGATCATATTAAGATAGCGCATCTGTATGAGATCAGATAGTGCTCTCCCTCACTGCCTCTTGACTGCCCGGTGATTTACGGAGGCATGTGTTCATGTTCACTTGTTGGAAAGCTGCTAAAATAAGGAAGTGTGGTAGATACCTGCTCCCGGAGCGAGCGGTGGTCTGGGAGCCATCAGCCTTGATCCCATAACTCAAGAGCCCAGCCCTGGACGGTCCTGTCAGCCTGAAGGATGGGACAGAGACAGAGAGAGAGGCTGACCTGGGGACAGAGTGGCCGGGCCCTTCACACAACCATCCATTATTCCCTTGTTATAAATAAAAACCTGTCTGTCCACACTCTGCAACTGGAAGAAGACGGGGAAATATATCAAGCTTCTGTGTACTGTAAGACACAGTCAATAGCTGATAGCATCATGTGCATCATGTTTGCAAGGAAGAAAGTGATCACACACAACGGAGTACAATGATGGGATTCAAAACAGGCACATAAACATGACATACCCTACTGTTGTTTGTTTTCATCAGATAGATAGACTACAACCGGACATTGAATCTAAACAACCATTGAATCTGAAAACAAATTAAAGACACCCTGATCCTATCCTCAGGTTTCATTGTGTGTGACTGAGACTGTTTACCTCTATGTCCTTGAGATAGTCTTTGATGCGTGGGGTAGACCAGGGCTCTGTGTCTAAACCCCAAACCTCACTCGATCTGCTTCAATAACACACAATGGTGTGTGTAGGACTTTCCACTTGTTTCTCTCCGTGAATGTGGGCAACCCGCATATTTAACCTCTGCAGCAAACCTTTACAATCGTTGATCTCACATCTCACATCTCTTTATCCTGCCGGTTAGTTTAAACTGATACCATCACCAGTTTACTCATGCACAACTGTGTACCGCTCACACTGCGGTGCGCTATACCACTCTGTAAGAACCATTGTGCTCAGAGTCATTTCAAACAGCGTGTTCTTCACGGCCAATGAGCAGCGAGCGTCTCCTCCCAAGCTCCATTAAGCAGGAGCAGAGTTATTTATCGGTTCTGAACATCGCCGGCCACAGGTGCAGTCTGACCTACGGACCAGGGCTCCAGGGGCGGCCGGGCGTCCCACCAAACACTGGGGTCTCAGAGGGGAGAAGTAATGGGTGCAGGGCTGTACAGTAGGCCCACAACACTGTAGGATCCAATGGTCAGGTCACTGACCTCACTGTGACCTCAGGGCTCGAGGATTGAAGGCCTATAGTCTACGTGGAGAAGTTGCACTGAAGATGTATACTGTAAACTGGATGATACAAGATGCAATAGATAAGCACATTAAAGCATATCAGCACCCGCTATCTAACTTGCTTGAGGCGCTTTTCTAGTAACCTCACATGTAACTCTCGTAAACAAACATACGTCATTCAAAACCCAGTCTGTAATCTAAAGGGAAGATCTATGAATCCTTACACTAATGAAAAATAATCTGCTCAGGTAAACAATCCAATAATCTAATCAAAAACCTTCTATGATGCACTGAAAAGATACAAAGCTTGAGTGGCGTATGTGAATGTTTTACTTGGGCGGAGGCAGTACTAGAGTAGGTTTGAAGCTGCATGGAATTTCCTTTGGTTCTTCTGGGTGGAATGCCTCACTGCTTAACAACAAATTCATTTTCATTTCCAATAAATCTCTCATTCCATCCTTTTTCACAGTAACATACGTTTGTGTAGGATGCAGTTGTAAGGCTTTTTAAAGCTGCTGAAAAGTCATAACTTATCTGCGGACATACATATTGTTCCATTTGCATTCAATACTTTTCATGTGTCCTCGCTACGTCTAAGATAGCTCAACACTCAATGTCCTAAGAGCACATTTGTTAAGGATTACCGTTCATTTAACAGATTTTTTAAATCGTTTCTCATCTTCAAAGCTTTGCCAGTTAGTTTCAGAAGCCTCTGCTCTCGGGCTCTACTGTTCTGGAAGTCAAAACAGCTTTAATTGTAGTTTATGATTATGCCATTGAGCTTTAAAAACAACACGTAACTCTAGACACCAACATTAAAACATGTAGCTTTCATTTGTCCACCTGTTTGGGAGAGTGAAGGGGAACTGGCTGCTTCAGAGACGTCTTGTTTACAGTTGGACCATCATGGTGAGGCGCTGTGTTCAGAGCCGAGAGCACACTCTACCCCAGGTCACCTCTAACGCTTTTGATTCTCCCCCTTTGTTCTGTGATCTGAAATGTGTTCCAGTTTGAGTTTCATTAAAAGCATGTCCTGAAATTGGATCCATCCCTTTGTACACCGGCTAGTCCAAGAGGAACAGTGTGCAATCTAACTGGAAGCAGACTGGTCTCATCTCAGTGGATGTATGGACGTTGTTACATCAGTGTTGTGTGTGTGTGAGTGTGTCCGTGTGTGTGTGCATGCGTGTGTGAGTGTGTGTGTGTCTCAGTGCCTGGGAGTCAATCTAGACCAAAGTGTCACTTTCTCCTGTGTAACAATATCCTAGTCTTACATGGCCTGGCGGCTACACATTTATTCAGTGTGCATGACATAATCATAGCACATTGCACCCCTCAGACACATGAATGGTTATTTCACTCACTCCTCTGGCCAAGGAAACACCCAGGTCTGTGACAGAGTATAGCAGCACAATTACCATCCACTTTCCACAGGAACCAGGGGCCCAAACCGGTCACTGTCAGAACTAACTGGCCCAGGGTGACACTGACAACAGTGTACAATACTCACTGAACCCAATGATATTGCTATGATGTATGTGGGAAAGATTTTCATTGACTTAGGTTGCTGCCATACCTGTACAACGCAAATGGCATCAAAGGGTTGTTTCTACACAAATGTTGTTTTAGATGCCTTTTTGGGAAATCCCCTTAGAATGAACCAGGTGTGAACGCATCCTTACATGAAAAGTCAAATAGCCCAAATGGCATACTAGGAATTATTTGAATCCTTATTTATTGGTCAACTAAATCCTTGAGCTGGTATACTATATGTGTCCCAACTACTTAAACTTCAATGCAATGAGGTCTTGGTTTGCCCCTACACATAATCGCAGGAGCTTCACAGTCCCAGCCTACAGGAAAGCAGAGAAATGTCTATGAGAATGTCTATGTATCAAACACACAGAAGAGCTTCCAGATGTGATATGTGATTATCAACGACACCCAATGAAGGGAGGATGAGTGACAGGCTCTCAAAGTGGATTGAAACATCACTCAGGCAGTGAGAGAAAAATAATCGCTTCTTCAATGGCAACCTGTGTGTGCCTTGCAAAAGTATTCATCCCCCTTGGCGTTTTTCCTATTTTGTTGCATTACAACCTGTAATTTAAATGGATTTTTATTTGGATTTCATGTAATGGACATACACAAAATAGTCCAAATTGGTGAAGTGCAATGAAAAAAATAACTTGTTTAAAAAATAAAATAAAATAAAATAACGGAAAAGTGGTGCATGCATATGTATTCAGCCCCTTTGCTATGAAGCCCCTAAATAAGATCTGGTGCAACCAATTACCTTCAGAAGTCAAATAATTAGTTACATAAAGTCCACCTGTGTGCAATCTAATTGTCACATGATCTCAGTATATATAGACCTGTTATGAAAGGCCCCTGAGTCTGCAACACCACTAAGCAAGGGGCACCACCAAGCAAGCGGCACCATGAAGACCAAGGAGCTCTCCAAACAGGTCAGGGACAAAGTTGTGGAGAAGTACAGATCAGGGTTGGGTTATAAAAAAATATCTGAAACTTTGAACATCCCACGGAGCACCATTAAATCAATTATTAAAAAATGGAAAGAATATGGCACCACAACAAACCTGCCAAGAGAGTGCCGCCCACCAAAACTCACAGACCAGGCAAGGAGGGCATTAATCAGAGAGGTAACAAAGAGACCAAAGATAACCCTGAAGGAGCTGCAAAGCTCCACAGCGGAGAGATTGGAGTATCTGTCCATAGGACCACTTTAAGCCATACACTCCACAGAGCTGGGCTTTTACGAAAGAGTGGCCAGAAAAAAGCCATTGCTTAAAGAAAAAAAGAAGCAAACATATTTGGTGTTCGCCAAAAGGAATGTGGGAGACTCCCCAAACATACGGAAGAAGGTACTCTGGTCAGATGAGACTAAAATTGAGCTTTTTGGCCATCAAGGAAAACGCTATGTCTGGCGCAAACCCAACACCTCTCATCACCCCGAGAACACCATCCCCACAGTGAAGCATGGTGGTGGCAGCATCATGCTGTGGGGATGTTTTCATCATCAGGGACTGGGAAACTGGTCAGAATTGAAGGAATGATGGATGGCTCTAAATACAGGGAAATTCTTGAGGGAAACCTGTTTCAGTCTTCCAGAGATTTGAGACAGGAACGGAGGTTCACCTTCCAGCAGGACAATGACCCTAAGCATACTGCTAAAGCAACACTTGAGTGGTTTAAGGGGAAACATTTAAATGTCTTGGAATGGCCTAGTCAAAGCCCATACCTCAATCCAATTGAGATAGTAATAGAACAGCGCCGGAGAAGATGGCTGCCGTTTTACAGCCCTCTAACCAATTGTACTATTATGTGTGTTTTTCCGCGTTATTTGTAATTTATTTTGTACATAATGTTTCTGCCATCGTCTCTTATAACCAAAAAGAGCTTCTGGATATCAGGACAGCGATTACTCACCTCGTATTGGACGAAGATTTTTTCTTCAACGAGGCGGCCGCGAAGGATATCATACAGACACCCGACAAGGCCCAAATCCCTGTCATTCGCATGAGGAAGAGACTGAGATATCGTGGACGTAGGTCGGGGTGCCTTGTAAGGATCCGACGGCGAGCGAGTAAACTGCCGCTCCCATCAATCCTATTAGCCAATCTTCAATCATTGGAGAACAAATTGGATGACCTAAGATTACGGTTATCCTACCAACAGGACATTAAAAACTGTAATATCTTATGTTTCACCGAGTCGTGGCTGAACGACGACATGGATAACATACAGCTAGCGGGCTATACGCTACATTGGCAGGATAGAACGGCTGACTCCGGTAAGACAAGGGGTGGCGGTCTGTGTATATTTGTAAACAACAGCTGGTGCACAAAATCAAATACTAAGGAAGTCTCGAGGTTTTGCTTGCCTGAGGTAGAGTATCTTATGATAAGCTGTAGACCACACTATTTACCAAGAGAGTTTTCATCTATATTTTTCATAGCTGTCTATTTACCACCACAAACCAATGCTGGCATTAAGATTGCACTGAATGAGCTGTATAAGGCCATAAATCAACAGGAAAACGCTCATCAAGATGCAGCGCTCCTAGTGGCCGGGGACTTCAATGTAGGGAAACTTAAATCCGTTCTACCTAATTTCTACCAGCATGTTAAATGTGCAGCCAGAGGAAAAAAAACTCTAGACCACCTTTACTCCACACACAGAGATGCATACAAAGCTCTCCCTCGCCCTCCATTTGGCAAATCTGACCATAACTCTATCCTCCTGATTCCTGCTTATAAGCAAAAACTAAAGCACGAAGCACCAGTGACTCGGTTAATAAAAAAGTGGTCAGATGACGCAGATGCTAAGCTACAGGACTGTTTTGCTAGCACAGACTGGAATATGTTCCGGGATTCTTCAGATAGCATTGAGGAGTACACCACATCAGTCACTGGCTTCATCAATAAGTGCATCGATGATGTCGTCCCCACAGTGACTGTACGTACATACCCCAACCAGAAGCCATGGATTACAGGAAACATCCGCACTGAGCTAAAGGGTAGCGCTGCCGCTTTCAAGGAGCGGGACTCTAACCCGGACGCTTATAAGAAATCCCGCTATGCCCTCCGACGAACCATCAAACAGGCAAAGAGTCAATACAGGACTAAGATTGAATCGTACTACACTGGCTCTGACGCTCGTCGGATGTGGCAGGGCTTGAAAACTATTACAGACTACAAAGGGAAGCACAGCCGCGAGCTGCCCAGTGACACAAGCCTACCAGACGAGCTAAACCACTTCTATGCTCGCTTCGAGGCAAGCAACACTGAAGAATGCATGAGAGCACCAGCTGTTCCGGATGACTATGTGATCACGCTCTCCGTAGCCGATGTGAGTAAGACTTTTAAGCAGGTCAACATTCACAAGGCCGCAGGG